CAAAGTCAAAGTTATCAACTAACCAATCACCTTGGTTAGCTGGATATGTTGATTTTTGTTACTGAATCGTCAGAAAGCAACAACAGATTTTGAAAGATTTCTGAAATTTAGTTAATTCAATTTACGGCAAGACGATCGAAGATAAGAGAAAGCATGTGAAGGTCGAGATTACTGAAAGATTTAGAAGGAACGATGATGAGGAAGAATCTGGTGAAAAGTTCATCATTCTTGATGAAAGTAAAGTGATTTTCCAGATGAAAAATAGTTCCAAAAATGGATAAACCAATGTGGATTCACTGTGCTTGAAATAGCAAAATTGAAAATGTACCAATTACATTATGGAGAGTTCAAACCTTATTTCAAGATAATATCAAATTATTATATACTGACACCGATAGTTTAATCTATCATATCAACACAAACAATATAGATGAGGATCTCAAGAACTTGTCTCAACTCATGGATTTCTCCAATTACCCCCAGTCACATCATCTTTTCTCTAATGAGAATAAGAAAAAAATTGGATTCATCAAAAACGAAATTGCTGGTGATGAAATCGTTGAGTTTCTTGGTATAAAACCAAAACTCTATACCATTAAAACGTTGTCTGACGTAAAAAAACGAGCCAAAGGAGTCCCAAGAGTTTCACTGAAAAAGATAAATTTTGACGATTATAAAGACTGTTTATTTCATGAAACAACTGAAAGAGGAACAGCTTCTAGAATCCAGTCAACAAACCATAATATTCAAGTTGTTAACCAATCAAAACTAATGATTACCCCCTTTGAAGATAAAAGATTTTATCTTGATAAAATTAATTCATTACCATATGGTCATTACAAAATTTCAAATTTATAATAAGCACATTTAATCAAAAATTCACATATTTATTCAAAAAAATTTATTGTTAATCATTTTGCTAATTCAAAGAATTAAATATTTTTTCAGTACATGAAACAATTTTGTCTCATTATTAATATGTTCACAACCGCGAAACAACTTGTAAAAGTCATTTAGATCATAAACTGAAATTACAAATACAAGACAGAAAAATCCACAAGCAACTGATAAGTTACCTTGATATTTATTAGGTTATAGATAGTAATCAGATATTTTCAATAAATGTAAGTATTGACCCTTGAGGTTTCCTTCCGAATGAATCAAAATAATGGACTATTTTATTCGTATCGAGATACATTGCGACCCAATGACTCTCTTTATAACTTTCATCTAAATTGATAATGATTGCTTTATCTTTACTGAGATTTGTTATAATCGATCGGGAAAACACCAGAACCAGGGAACATCAGTAAGTAATTCAATTATATCGTTTGTAGTCAACATTTTTAGTAATCCAAATTTATGTTATGGTCTTTATCAATTGTAATTAGATTATCGAATTGAGCAAAAACGATAACTTTAAGTGATTGTTTCAATCGATCACTGAATTAAGTCTTTTCAATCCCACCAACACAAACAGCAAATTGAAAGTAGTTATGAAGTGAGTATCATTAATGCAAGTCTTGAATCTAGTAATTTTATGAAATTAATGTCCCAGCAAGTGAAGATTTTACAGATTTGGCATGTACAATGCTCATATTCATCTTAGTGTTAAAACAGTTGCTGGGCAGTACTTATAGAAGCAACAGTTAAAACTGTTACTAATTTTGGCACTGTTATTTGAACAAGTGACTTATCTCTTGGCTCAGTTAATACCAGCAAGCCAATAATACATACCATTACCAATCTTATTTTGAAGATTGTTTTTTCCGATTTCCAACCCAATGGATTCCGGATTTCAAGTGTGAAGCTAAATTTACGATCATCTTTGACCTGTATTTTCGTTTACATTCTCCATTATGTGAACAGGATAAACTTTTAATTAACGGTGTTCCATTAACATTTAGATTCACTAAAAGTCCTGATGGATTCTCATTAATCAAGTATGACTCAGCTGATACATCTAAATATGAGATCAAATTTGAGAAATTTTCTATACACATTAAACGTTAAATTATTCCTGAAGCTCAGAAAGTATAATTGCAGGTCTTGAAAAGGTCCTGCAGTATTTCACAACAAGGAACGATACTAGAGTTTTCTCAATTCCTTCAGGTCAATCATCTGCCTCAATTGAGAATGTATATCATGGTGTTTTACCTCGTAGAATATTAGTGGGCTTAGTTAAAGATGCTGCTCAAGAGGAAAGTATATCTCGATCCTTTGAATTTAAACATTTCAATACGAATTTCATTTCACTGAATGTTGATGGGAATATGATTCCATCAATTCCGTACTCACCTAATTTCAATTCAAATTATTATATGAGAGAATTTATTAATTTGTACCGATTCTTCGGACAAGATGAAGGTATCCCACAACTTAATATCACATATGATGAATATGGTAAATCATCTACTTTATTTGCATTTGATCTCACCTGATGGATCAATTGTGCTGAGAATGGAAATTATCTGATTAAAAGAGGTAATATAAGACTTGACATTAAATTCAGTGATCGATTGAAACAATCACTTAAAGTTATCGTTTTGCTCAATTCGATAATCTAATTACAATTGATAAAGACCGTAATGTAAATTTGGATTACTAAAATGTTGACTACAAACGATATAATTGAATTACTTACTGATGTTCCCTGGTTTTGCTGGTGTTTTCCTGATCGATCGATTACAACAAATCTCAGTAAAGATAAAGCAATCATTATCAATTTAGATGAAAGTTATAAAGAGGGGAGTCATTGTCGCATGTATCTCTGATACGAATAAATAGTCCATTATTTTGATTCATCGGAAGGAAACCTCAATCAATACTACATTTATTGAGAAAATATCTGATTACTATCTATATAACCCTAATAAATATCAAGGTAACTTATCAGTTGCCTGTGGATTTTTCTGTCTTCTATTTGTAATTTCAGTTTATAATCTAAATGACTTTACAAGTTATTTCAGGTTGTGAAATATATTAATAATGAGACAAAATTGTTTCATGTATTGAAAAATATTTAATTTTGAATTAGCAAAATGAAATGATTAATAAAATTTTTGAATAAATATGTGAATTTTTGATAAATGTGCTTATTATAAATTTGAAATTTTGTAATGACCATATGGTAATGAATTAATTTTATCAAGATAAAATCTTTATCTTCAAAGGGGTAATCATTAGTTTTGATTGGTTAACAACTTGAATATTATGGTTTGTTGACTGGATTCTAGAAGTTGTTCCTCTTCAGTTGTTTCATGAAAATAGTCTTTGTAATCGTCAAAATTTATCTTTTCAGTGAAACTCTTGGGACCTTTGGCTCGTTTTTACGTCAGACAACGTTTTAATGGTATAGAGTTTGGTTTTATACCAAGAAACTCAACGATTTCATCACCAGCAATTTCTGTTTTTGATGAATCCAATTTTTTCTTATTCTCATTAGAGAAAAGATGATGACTGGGGGTAATTGAGAAATCCATGAGATGAGATAAGTTCTTGAGATCCTCATCTATATTGTTTGTGTTGATATGATAGATTAAACTATCGGTGTCAGTATATAATAATTTGATATTATCTTTGAAATAAGGTTTGAACTCTCCATAATGTAATTGGTACATTTTCAATTTTGCTATTTCAAGCACAGTGAATCCCACGGCTATTGGTTTATCCATTTTTACGGAACTATTTTTCATCTGGAAAATCACTTTACTTTCATCAAGAATGATGAACTTTTTCACCAGATTCTTCCTCATCATCCGTTCCGCTTCTAAATCTTTCAGTGCAATCTCGACCTTCACATGCTTTCTCTTATCTTCGATCGTCTTGCCGTAAATTGAATTAACTAACAATTTCCAGAAATCTTTTTCAAAATCTGTTGTTGCTTTCTGACGATTCAATGTACAAAAATCAACATATCCAGCTAACCAAGGTGATTGGTTGAATTTGATAACACGGTGTACTTTGTTGACTTTGATTCCAAGCATAACGTAATACTTGAGAGCTTCATAATGGATTATATATTTAGTTTTCTTCAAAAATTGTGACAAGTTTAGTCGATGGTAATGATTTGACTCTTGATTACGAAGCTTTGTATGTAACTCTTCTGGTAGTTACTATACATTGAAGGATCGATTTTCAATTTTTGTGTAAAGGAAAGTCCGAATGAGAATCGTGAAGTTCAGATGGATACTCGAGATCAACTTCGAGTATATAACCAACACTTCCTGAACCTGCTGTGTTTAAAACTATCTCTAATGGTACGTCACACCATTCAAAACCATCCACAGGTAAGTACTGAGACATAGCATAACCATAAAGATTATTGACGTCCAAGTATAACATTTTACTTTTAGATTCTGTTTGATTGTAATCGGGTAATTCAGGGTCATTAGCTCTTGCATATCTCTGACTTACCATAGTCAAACCACCTCGGATACCTGATTCGATCATCAACAACATATCGACATCAGAAAAAATCTGAAGTTCAATTGATGTTGTTTTTAGAGCTGCAGCCCAAGTGAGACCAGGGGATGAAAAATGATGAAGAGGATCAATACCGAAACTTTTAATTGCCATCTTTCGGAAATTTTCAAATATTGCAGCTAATAGTACGACATCAGTTTTAAGGTATATGTCATGGAGATCTCTTAATGATGTACAATCGAAGCTAATCCAAACATCCTTCACGTGGTTGTAAACCTCTTCTGAAATTGATGACTCGGTTAGATGTGAATAGAATTTATCCTTCGGTGGTAATGTCTCTCAAACCTCTCCATTGAATCCAGGTACTCATAAGGTAAGCACCCTTTCTTCATAAGAAGTGATAAATCACCTGTGAATATCTGATTCAGATAGAATAATTTATCATCAGTTGTTAAATTGGCTGACAGAGCATCCAAACTTGCTGAGAGGAAAGCAAAACTATCCATGAACTTGAAATTGTCAATGATGAAACCGATAAATTTTTCTGTTGAATGAGCAATAATTTGAGGTTTCTCTTTGAACATTGATGAGTCAAGAGCTTTGATGATTATGTGACCATCAAAGTTTTTCAAGTTATGAAAAACAACTGGAATTTGTGTCGGAACTTGATACTCTAGATTACAGGGTTGATGAGCTGCACCCCTGAATTTACCAGTGAGATGATCATGATCACGAACACGAATATCAGATCCTAATGGTTTGGAACAAATGTGACACGTGGTTGCTTCTTTGAATTGTTTTTCTTCATCGTAAGTTAACGAGAGAGGTTTGATATTCTGTACAATATGATCACGAATGAAAGGTTCTAAGCTTATGATTTTTTCTAAGAACTTTTTACCTGCATCATCACCAAGGTAAAAATCACTACAGATAATAACACCGTTCCAATCAACAACAACTAGCCCGTAACTACAAGGGACTAAGTCACTGACTTCATCAGGTTCACTCTCGTTTTTAACATTCAAGGTTTCAAAGTCAGCATAAATACTAACTGGAAATTGAACTTCTTTACGATATTGGTTTCTCTTGAGTGTTGAATTATTGACATCAGGTAAAATCAGTCTTTGTGCTGTTGTTTTTTGACATTCATTTGTATGGAACAACAATCTTTCTTTTGTTCGGAACGAACAAAAACAACGTTTACAGAAGTGTCTTGCTCTTTTATCATTATGTGATGCTAATCTATTGAAATGTGCAATTGTATAATAATGTTGATTATACAAAAACAGATCGACGTGTTTTTCCTTTTCTAGATTACAGATTTTGAGAGGAACAACAGCTTTGCTATCTGGATAGCAAGTATATACGTTGACGGAAATGTTGTTTTTCTTTGAAATCTTCAATGTTGTCGATAGAACAATACCACGAACATTAGAGAAGTCATACTGTTTTATATATTGTGTATAACTGCTAATTCGCCCACAGTTTTTACTTGATTTGTAGACCAATGAGCACCGCACACATGAAACAATCATTGTCTGTCAGGAGAAATCAAACATTTTTGTTTTAATGAATGATGGAAAGCGATCATATCCACCGAAACGGTTTGAATTTCATCAGCAACGTCAAAGTCAGATTCGTCCGTTCCAGAATCGTTGAGCAACCGACGATCGACAAATTTCCACGCATCGTTAATATATCTTATCTGTGCCAGCAACATGGTGTTGTCAGACCAACCTTCCTTATCACCGATTGCTGAATCATCACGTCCGATACCGACCGACGACCATCAACGCCAGCTGATTTCATCAAATTGATAACCGCCTCAGTCGACGGCCCAGAATGATCAGGCCTGGAGCCGAGCCGACAGCTGAACGCCGACAGAGCACTCGACGGTCAGCACGACAAACACACCGCGAATTTGTCGATTTTGTCCAGAATCACCACACACGACAAGAAATCAATTCCGTATTATTTGTATCGACGGAACAGGTCTCGTTCTGGCAGCAGGTGATGGTTCGCGACGGCACAGTAATGGCGCAGTGATGGCAGCCGATGAACCGGTGATACCTCGACGACGAGTTAACGGATCGAGCCAGGTCCACGTTCATTGCATTTATTGTAGACGACCGACAACCGTCAGTTGAAATTGAGTGTCTCTGCGAAATTAACTGTGGCGAATATCATCGCCTCAGAACACAGAGACAGTCACCGAGCAGGTCAACAGACACTGGTTGGCCCGCCTGTTGGCGGACCAGCGTGCATCCATCATTGACACGAACAATCAGCAGCAGGTATGCAAAATCGGCCGCTGAAAATCGAGCTCACAAACAGGACAACAACACCACGATTGACGGGTCGAGTAGCAACCGAATACTAAACAGATAATCAGGCATCAGGCAGTCCATCAGCATATCGTTTCATCAGCTGAAGAATTAATCAGTTCCAGTTCAGTTCTTCATGCCCATTCAGATCTTCGACCAGAACACTGATTTCACATTGAAACCCTCCCACTAGTCAGTTAGTGTTACGTCCAGCACGATAAGAATTATTACCACACGAATCTCGCCGATATTTCGAATGTCTTGCAGTTCATCATGACAGTTATTTGCGACAGAATGCACACTCCGCCTGAAGATAACGATGATGAAAAATCCCATCGGCGTCATCTCCGGCGAGAAAAGTGTCCATTCAGGAACGCCATCGTCGAACGCATCATGTCTCGCAGCCCACCAATCACCGTCACGCATGAGATACGCCGTCGATGCTCAATGACCGTTTTCACCAGTATTAACCTCACCGAATGATATCTCGATGCCGTATATCAGATATTCCGAAAGATCATCAGAACGATCATCAACGTCCAAATCATGGCAGATTTGAACCAGTTGTGCACTTTTCCGATGCAAAACCAACGTTGCACCATCTTCAGTTCTGCATCTGAGTATTGAATTCTTTCGGTTTTATGTCGACTTTGACATATCAGTCCCACGACCAGTTGAATCTATTACGATCCGATATGGTCAGAATTACACATTTAATATTATCAAACATTGCACCGGAATACTAGTAGTAAAATGACCGTTATAATTATGAAAATGATGATCGTAAAATCATGTTATGTTTCATGAAGATCATGGTATCGAATGAGCTGACTACCGTCAGCATAACATGATTTTACGAATCATCATTTTCATAATTATAACAGTCATTTTACTACTAGTATTCCGTGCTCTATTTTTTTGATAATATTAAATATGACCAAATCAATCTGGCCTGATTATCGGATCGATAATATAGTTTCAATATGGTCAATAGGACCAATAGATATCAAAGTCGATAATACAAATCGAAAGAAAAAATTCAATGCTCAAGTATTGAACTGATAATGGTGTGCTGTTGGTTTTTGCATCAGGAAAATTACAGCAACTGATTCAAAAGTCTACCCATGACAATTTGACATTAATGGAAACGTTCCTTATCGAAATAACTTTATCAGAATATCTAATATAACACATCAAGTTATAATTCAGTAAGGTTCAATACTGAAAAGTTAAAACAATGCATACGATTGAAGCATCAACAGTATATCTCATATACATGAAAGCTAGTAGTTGATTAAACTTACACGAGGTGGAGCCACTTGTCACCGACAGATGGCAGCATTTCCATAATACTTTTTATTTTGTTCAACAGATGGCGACACTTTCTAATTAACTTACTTTTCTCACCAGAAGATGGCAGCACTTCTGATGATTTTCGTTTATCATCATTTATCTTCCAAACGGATGATAATTTTTTTATTCTAATCACAAATAAATGTTCAGAAAACTCATGTCTTCATGATGAGCTTGCAAAGTTCATTCAGAATATCATGAATTCAGTGTAAACTGAATTCTTATGTTCTCAGACGTAACTATTGCTATGCAACTACAAGTATATATAAAGGAAGGGTTTCAATGTAAAATCAAGTATTCCTTGTCTTGATGTTAGATCGAAAAGATCCTGAATAGGCATAGAGAATACCTTTAGGGACTGTTAGGTTTAATTCTTGCTGATACCATTAAACGATACCTGCTATTGGATACCTGATACCTGATACCTGATTATCCTGTTTAAGTATTTGGATTCCTGTTATTTTATATATCAATCATGGTATTTATTTGTCCCTGTTGTGACTCAATTTTCCAACTATTGGGTGATTACCTTTCACATACCTGCAACTGTAATTATTCTTCGTGTAGAATGATGGATACCTTCACTGGTCCACCAACTAAACGACAACGAACTGCAGACCAACAACAGTCATCACAATCAAGCTGCTCCAGTGACTGTTCTCTATGTTCAGAAGCATTGAGAAATATTCCCCGAACTCCTGAACAAATTTCACCAGAACCTCCAGAGCTTTTTCCAGATCCACCGATACGAGTTGAACCTGAAGAGATTGTACTATCTAGTCAATCTACAATAGAAATATCTTCTGACGAAGAAGATGAACATCAATTGGACCCTAATATTAATCGACCATCCGTTATCCAATTTGCTCCGAGAATCGATCAAGGTACTTCACCAATTCACTTTTCAACTGCACCATCACCTGCACCATTACCTGTACCATCACCTGAACCATCACCTGTACCAGAACCAGAACCTGTTCCATCGACATCACGAGTGCCATCAAATATGCAAATTGGTACTGGTATTTCTTTATCGTGTGAAAAGTGTGGGAAGACGTATACAAGACCAAAGTATCTAGAAAACCATTCACGAGTATGTGGTTTATCCATTACTTTTGACCATCCCGAAAATGCTCCTAATCAATATGCTTCATTCAAGCTTATCAACTCAGCTTTCAAGAGATATCTGGTCCAATATCGTGCATCAGATATTGAATCTCCTGATATAAGTGAAGTTATAAAGACAAAATTTGATGAAATCAAATCTCTCTCAACATTTTGATTGATGAATTGGTGCTATTAAATTCAGTATCGTAGTTGTTGATTCGAAACCAAATCAATGGAAAACTGATAAAGGAGGATTTGAGTCTGACTTAACACCATGTTTAGCTGGTACAGATAATGATACTATAATTAACGATACATTAGAGTTTATGTGATCGTATTGATCAATTTACTCAACGAGGTTCTGGTTGGACTATTAAGAAAGTCTTATTTCTGACTTGTTTGCTGGTAAATTCAAACTGTTTTGTGGATGCCAACATGATCAGCTTCCATCATTCATTAAAAACAAAATGTTTGAATTTCCCGCAAAAGTTTGTTCCAGTATGCACACCTCTGCCAGTATGGACACTTGTGCTAGAAACCTGTGCTAGTATGGACACTTTGTGCTAGTATGGACACTTGTGTCAGAACCGGTCTTTGTCTAACTACATTGATGACTTTTTATTTTTTTTCAGACATTGATGACTTGGGTTCATCAGATTATCAATGAAAATCAATTACAGCACAGTTTAATAAAAAAAATAATTATCTTATTGATGGTTTTTACAATTAAATTCACTGAATTTAAATTAGCTGATTAACTTTTCAAGGAACATGTTATATAAGATTGCCTGATTGGATCTCTCAAAATATTTTTTCAATTCTAGGATGTAATCACTTCGTTCTGGTGTTAACATGAAAATTGGATCATAAAATTAATTCAAAAATTCTGATTCCTACATGACTTTTTTGGTAGTTTTCATGAAGACGAGGTGAAAGTTCAGTTACAAACATGGCTGGCCCATGAAAACATTGTTTATTATTTTCACTGTTCCCTTATGGATAAATCAACTTAGTCGATTTTGCTTTTATTTTCATTTTATTTGTCTTTCTCCTTCTTTCTATTTCTCTCTTCCTCGAGACAATTTGTCCAAAATTTTCATGTCAATCTAATACCATCATTCTCATGAATACAGCTTTGAATTACAACCAACCGTCTTCAGGGAATTTTCTATCTTGTTTCATTATGTTACCAGAATAGAAATAGAAACGAATTTTTTTCACCATTATCCTATTTTCTTTTTCTATTAGTCTTTCAAGATTCAGATCAGACGAGAGTTGGTTTTACAAAATTGATCAGTTATTCTCTTATAGCTAATTATTAATAACTTATCTTTATCCAATAATGATTCGTACAAGGATAAAGTCCTTATAACATACATAAAATGTATTTTTAGTTTTTATTCATTTTTGGAAAAAATTTTCATCATTAAAGTTACACAAACTTTGAAACCATGATGATAATCATTCAACAAAAAGTTCTGGCTCTAATTGTTTACCAACTTTGAATATAATTCCAACTGAATAACAGAAAAATAATTACCATGAATGATAAATGGTAAGGGAAATGAAAATATATTATAATTAATTTCTGAGAGAGATGAATTAAATTTATACCAGAATTTTAACATTCAGCTGATCTAATTGCTAATTGTCCTCTTGATAATCACCTTTGAGTCGCATTAAAACTTACAATCGTCATCATCAAAGATAATATATAACTGTCTTTATAATCAACATTGAAAATCAACTATTGGTTTCAAAATGTTAATTATCATTTTGTTTCGTTTGACTTTTACCATTGTTCATTTGATATACAAATCATCTAACATTTTGGAAAACAATTGAATCAATTATTCACAAATAAATTACTAACCATTAATAAATTATATTAATGGCTCAAAATGATTAATAAGGCAAATTGATTGATTATAATCAATTGAAAACAATTAATCAATATTAATGATGTTTAACAATAATGATTAACTATCAAGTTGATTTGATTATATAATAACAATAATGGTTTTATTAACTTCTGATAATCAACATAACAGTAGCTATCATATGATAATCATCTTGTTATTATAAATAATAATAAAATGATGAGCGATGATCTTGATTCCAGAATAAATTGTTGGTTAAATTAATTCAATTCCCTATTGAAAATCATGATGATAACAATGGTGATTCTTGTTGACAGATAACCTTGAAAATTATCAACCATATGATAATCAACATCATCAACTTCATCCAAAGTAAATGAAGATGAAGACAGAATATCTTAATAAAAAAAAAGTTCTTATCATTATCATGGAAATCAGGATAATCTTATTCGCTTCTCTCAATGAGAAGATAATGAGCAAGATGAAAGATGAAAAAACTCTTTGGTGTTTACATGAACAGTCACTTTCTTTTCTCTTTCTTTTCTCTTACTTTTTCATCTTTCTTTTTTTTTTATTACCATGAACGAGGACGAGATCAAGATGCTGATGCTGTTGTAGTTGTGGTGGTTTTTTGGGTGATGACTGAGATGAAAGAATTGATCCTAAAAATAAAATGATCCCATGAAAGCTTCATGATAGACTCACATGGTCTTTCTCATTCAGAGTTCTCAGATTTTCTTTTCATGTCAACCTTACAATTTATATTCTGGTCTCTTTCATCGTCTCATTTTTTTCTCAGGTTCATTTTTCATCGATAATCATTTGAAATCATCAAAGTCGTGAATCAGTAAACGTCATAGAGAATCAATCATATGTTCATATAAAAAAAAAGATGATTGATTATCATTGAGATTTTTTTGTTGTTATTTTGATGATTGTGATTAAATATTTTACTGATAATCAATAAATTGACGTTGATTGTGATATAATAAAAGGGAAATAAAATGATTCTCTCGTATTTACCTTCGTTAATATTTAAACTTGGTCGGTGTGATTTTCTGGTTCCTTCAATTATATCCTGAAATAATTCAGATGTAACTGAATTACGTCCTTGTTTGGTCATTTCAACATATGATTCAGCTAGAATATCATCATCCACCCCCTTTTTATCATCTTCCACCTCTACTTTTCCACTAACCCCCTTTCTTTCATCATCATTACTCCCACTCTCTTCTTTAACATCATTATTTTTATCATCATTTCCTATTCTTGATAATAATTCATTAGAATTCTGAGATAATGGTGATAATGGTTCACATGATGATACTGTTTTAATGATGCTTGATGATGATGATGATGATGATGATAAAGTTAACGATCTTTTTTGTTGAGATGAGACTTGATTGTTATCAGTAAGAGCTTGACCATTGTCCATTGTTGATATCTTAATCACCTTATCGGCTTGTAATGAGCTAATCAATTGATTTAACTGCACTGGTTTTAAATTACTTGTCAACCAATGTTTAATATAATCTGGATGTTGTCTCAAATAATTATCAACAGTTTGCCTGCCATCAAGGGTTGACTGTTCACTTCCCTCCATTTTTAATATTAAGAATTAAACTTTAATTGTTGTCACAGAATTCAACTATTTAACTTGTATATTTTTGTCACGTTGCATAATTTATATCAGCACACTAATTGTTGGAATGACAATCAGTTAAAACAATGTTTCACATTTTAATCATGTGTTGATCGTGTTAGGATGTTGATGGATTGCCATTGATAACATTTTCGCAGAGATCAACTGTTTACCTTCATTGACAATTTCATTGGTTTAAATTTTTCTCTTTTCTTCTTTCACTTGTTTACAATTCACTGACAATTTACAATTTAATCATAATAATGAAAACTTTTCTCATATTTTACTGAATAAATCAGAGGGAAGACTTAAGAAGATGATGAAGATGAGATGTCTGATGAGAGTGTAAGATAGAATGAAGAGAAAAGAATAAGCCATGAAATTCAGGCTCTCCTTTTTCCACCCCACCCTAAATACTCTCTCTCTCTCTCTCTTTATTAGTCTCCGATTTCATTCATGAGGCTGCGTATTTTTTTCACTCTCTTAATCTATGTAACTTTTTCTGTCTATTTTGTCTTTCTCTCTCTCTCTCTTTCTCTCTTTCTCTCTGGCCTCTTCTTATCATTTGAGTCTCTTTCTCTTTTTTCCATCTCAGTTATCTGATTGAGCTCCATGACAATCACTAATAACTTTCTAGTTTGATAATTATCAGTTTTAAACGATGTAGTTTGATTTTCATTCTTTATTAATACATTGTAAGTATATTGTGGTTTTTTTTCTTAGCCAATGTGAATATTAAAGCTCTTCTCAGTAACTTTCGCCAAGTTATCAAAAGGTTTAGTCGAGTTCCTATTTGATTTAGTCAGCCTCATAGATGGCAGAAATTTTCTTAATTCTTTTTCAATGAATTGTGGAGAGTATCAATTTATTTGGCCAAGTTCTCAGAACAATTAGTGAAGTATAACATGAATCTGATTAAAGATTTAATTGTTTTGGTTTCTGGAGTTTCCCTCAAACTAGTTACTAATTTTTATGATAGATGGAGACTCATTTCTAAATTTTTCACTTATCTGATTCGTAACAAAGGGCATAGTAATGGGTAAGATAACCTTAACAGTTGGAAGTGGAGCTAAGTTAGAGGCCGTAATATTGAAGTGTTTTGCGGTCAAGGAGTGTGGACCTGCTAGACTAACTACCAGTTGAGGCCAGGATTTTTCGTTACTCTGACACAGCATCCATTTGGTTGGATCGATTCACCCACTAACCTGGTTTCTTTCGCGTTGGTACAATTCTGATTAGAGAGTTTGATAGGTTTTCCTCTCGATCATTTTCTGAAGCACTTTTTTGGTTCGCGGATGATTGTGGTTCAGTTTGTTGTTCATGATGACTAATTGTTTCCAAGATTGGGTTTGATGTGATTTTCTAGTCAGTGTTATTTACAATGCGTTTGATGGCTGATAAAAAGTGTGGATAGCTTAGAATTGCAGTTCTATGATAATTTTGATAGCCAGAGATGAGCAGGTTAAGCAGTAGCGCGTTTACGAAGGTGCTTCAGAGCGATTATTGAAGCAGGTTTCCGACTGTATTGCCGATTTGTTTGTTGCTTGAACATTATTCAACCTGGAAATAATGTTTGACCTTTCACGTCCAGAGCAGGACATTTTTGTAATGCCTGTTTCATTTTCTTTCATCTTTGAGCGAAAAATCGTGATAACACACAGCGTGATTGAAGTGCAGATGCCGGCGTTTGATTGCAAATAACTTTTTATTTCTACGAATTTCTTATCAAAAAGCATATCAAATTAAAGGACAAAGTCTAATTAGAATAGTAGATGGAATTTGAAAAGTTATAAATTTTTTCCCTTTTCAGAAATTCAATTATCATGGACGATGTTTTTTTTTAAGTTTTCTGTATTAATAAGAGTATAGAATTTCGAAAACCAAAATTTGAGTGCAATTCTTGATTTCGTATGATAGCTCAGTTTATCAGCTACAATTTTGTTTAAAGAAAAACTTGATATCGACTTTAACTTCGAAGATATTGGCTGAGACACAATATAACCTACTGAAAATAACCAAAAATTTGTCAGTTTTCACTATGGTAAATCATTTGATAAAACTCGGTAATTGGCAAATATGATTTTTTTTTTTTTTATTAATTATTAACGATTTTCTTAAAACATGAACAATAAAAGTTTCAGCAACAGTTTTAGCCAGCAAAGGCGGGGCTGACATCTTAATACCCATGACTGGGGTTTGACACTTATGATATCAGAATCTGATGAACCTTTGGATTGGAGCTTTCTTAGGACCTGAATTGGCTTTTGCCATAGAAGTTGCGCTCGAAGATGAATTAGGTCCCATTGGTATTGGACCTAATTTACCTTTACCTTGGTGATCCTGATGGAGATGATCCTGAACCTGGGGCATGTCCTATTCCGTTATTGTTTGTGGTGGACTTTGAAGATGAGATGATTTAGCTACACTATTTGAGGGGCCTTTGAATTCCACCAGAGCTGAGCTCGACCCTGAACTAGCACTCGAACCAGATCCAGTGTTGGACTGAGGAGCTTTACCTGATTTTGATGCATCACTAGAAGATGATGAAGCAGCTGCAGAACTAGATGAAGATTTAGCGGGTGAACTTTGTTTATCGTTAGAGCCTGAATCACTGGTAGAAGATGAAGCAGAAGAACCAGCGGAAGATTGAGCGGCGGAATTTGTATTTTTTTTACCGTTAGAATCTGAACCACTGGTTGATTCTGAAGTTGAAGTTGAACTTGATCCTTTACTAGAACTGGAACCAGATCCATTGGATGATTTAGAAGCTTCACCTGATTTCGATTTATCACCGGTAGATGAAGCAGCAGAACTAGAAGATTGAGCTGTTGAATCTTTTACCGTTAGAGCTTGGACCACCAGTTGATCCTGAACTTGAGCTTGAACTTGAACCAGATCCTTTTCTATAGACAGAATCAGCACCAGAATCGGATCAGAATCAGCATTAGAAGTAGCAAGAGCACCAAGAGCACCAACACCAGCACCACCACCAGCACCAGCACCAGCACAAGAGCACCAACACCAGAACACCAGAACCAGCACCAGAACACCAGCACCAGCACCAGCACCAGAACACCAGCACCAGCACCAGCACCAACACCAGAATCAGCACCAGCACCAGAGAACCAGCACCAGAGCAGAATCAGCACCAGATTTAGAATCAGCACCAGAAGCAGAATCAGCACCAGATTTAGAATCAGCACCAGATTTAGAATCAGCACCAGACTTAGAATCAGCACCAGAAGCAGAATCAGCACCAGAAGCAGAATCAGCACCAGATTTAGAATCAGCACCAGATTTAGAATCAGCACCAGAATTAGAATCAGCACCAGATTAGAATCAGCAATTGAATCAGCACCAGAATTGGAATCAGCACCAGAAGCAGAATCAGCACCAGATTTAGAATCAGCACCAGAATTTGAACACCAGAATTTGAATCAGCACCAGAATTTGAATCAGCACCAGATTTAGAATCAGCACCAGATTTAGAATCAGCACCAGATTTAGAATCAGCACCAGAATTAGAATCAGCACCAGATTTAGAATCAGCACCAGAAGAATCAGCACCAGATTTAGAATCAGCACCAGATTTAGAATCAGCACCAGAATTAGAATCAGCACCAGAAGCAGAATCAGCACCAGATTTAGAATCAGCACCAGATTTAGAATCAGCACCAGATTTGAATCAGCACCAGATTTAGAATCAGCACCAGATTTAGAATCAGCACCAGATTTAGAATCAGCACCAGAATTGGAATCAGCACCAGATTTAGAATCAGCACCAGATTTAGAATCAGCACCAGATTCAGAATCAGCACCAGAATTGGAATCAGCACCAGAATTAGAATCAGCACCAGATTTAGAATCAGCACCAGAATTTGAATCAGCACCAGAATTTGAATCAGCACCAGAATTGGAAGCAGCACCAGATTTAGAATCAGCACCAGAATTTGAAGCAGCGCTAGAACTAGAACCAGAATTAGTATCAGTTCCAGTAATAGAACTAGAATCAGATTTAGACTTGGATTCAGATGTCATTGTTTTTAACCTTTTCATCATATTATCGATTGAACTAATGTCTGGCATTCCAATAAGCATATCGGGCATAATAAAGTCATCTTGATCAGGAGTAAAATCGGCATCAACATTATCAGCACAAGGACCACTACTAGCACTTTCTGAGAAATAGTTGAATAATAATAAAAGTAAAACACTTAAATTGGCTAGTCTTAAAGCCATTTTGTTAATCGTAACTTTTCAATTTCAATGTAATTGAATAGATGAGATGAGATAGTTGACTGATAATTCTTTTGGAATCTATCGCTTTTATACCTAAAAAGTCCAGGTGTCGAACTTTAAAGTCTCAATTGCAGCTAAAGAAACATAACCTTTCAATAGCATTGTCAGTTTCAATAAGATAATTTTGATCATTATTTATTTTAGGATCATTCGACCGTTCACATTTGGAAACGTTTATCAACATAGTCTATTAAAAAATAACGTAACAACTTAATATCCGAACTTGTGACAATTTAACATTTCTAGGCTATTTATCAGGTCAATTTTTTATTTGCGATTCAGCAGAGAAAATGTAAAATTCTGGTTTGAAACTTTTCCATAAGCCATTGATAAACAGTGGCCTCTCAAAGTCGGAAAAGTGGTATATGATAAGACGACATTTAGCTGTTATGCCCTGTATATTCCAGTTAATTAATAGTTTTATTAATCAGTTTCAGTTGCAAACTGTTGAAACATGAAAGTGCGAATAACCTTGTCAATATATTCCAGAGGCTTCTGAATAAATATTTTTAGGATCATTCGTACACTTTCACATTTGGAAAAGGAAACGGAATCAGTTGGAAACGTGGTTAACATGAGAATAACCTTTACAAAAGTTCCAAAGGTATCTGAATAAATATTCTCGAGTCATTTTATTTTTTAAAATCATCACTTTATTTTGTAAATATGATTTAATTTTCATCATTGAATGAGACCTACACAACAAACCGTCAAACCAAATTTTCATAGATTTTTAATCGCTAAATTGATGATTGATATTTTTTACAAATAAAATGGACCGTCTAGTTTACGGTGGTTTTCCTCGTGGACAGTTTCGACCTCTTCAGCAGCTTCTCGTGCAAACGCAATTCAGTCCCTAAGCAGGACCAAAATCCAAAAGGTGCATCAGATTCTAAAATCATGAGTATTAAAGCTCAAAGAGTTTCTGTGAGTGTATCAGCCTCCGCCTTTGCTGGCTAAATGAACTTTTTTTGTCCATGTCTTAAGAAAATCGTTAATAATTAATAATAAATAAAAAATATCAATATTTGACAATTTTTTCATTCGAGAAAAGTACATGTATTAGTACTTTAATGGCCGGAAAAATATTTTTCTTATTAAATTATTTTTAAGATTAGGTTAGAAAGTTATCAATATTGGTGAAACATTTAATAGTTTTAGAGTATTTGATTGTGCTATTGATATAAACATAATAAAAAGAGAAATTAATTGTTGGATTAGATCAGATTTGAATTTCATGTTGATCTTCCTCATTATTATCGACTTGTCTTGACCATGTGAAATCGTTAGATGGACGTCTAAATATTGCCGATGATTTGATTTTCATCACTGAATAAGGACCAACAAAACCAACAATTAAACCAATCAACATGAATAAAACGATTATGCCAAATGCACCAACTCCAGTAGTACGAACATTTGGTTTTTCAGCAATCAAATTATCTTGATTTACTTCTTCTTGATTCTGTTTAGTTTTCATTTGATAATTGTGGCAACTTGTCGATTGATTGGTGACAGTTTTATCATCGAACACGGAGTACTTGGTCAATTGACAAGAAGCTGGTTCTTTTCCTTTTGGACAATAATTGAAAGATTTACATTGATCATCATCTCCTTGTTTGTAGTCGAAGCAAAAGGCAGCACATTGATCCATGTCCAGGTCGAGTTCTGTATGTAAGACTTCAGTAACAATCTCCGAGCCAGTTAGTTGATATTTCTGAGACAATTTAGCTATTAAAATTAAAGAGCAATTGATTAGTTGGTTGGTTGATTTCGGTTGAGAAATGAAAAACTTACGAGTATAAATGGTACATTTCGAGTCAAACTTGGTATTACTTTCAGAATAATAGCCACCAAAAGTACAAAGACCATCACAGAATCCAAATGAAAAACATTCTGACGTTTTAGCACATTCAGAAGCGCAGTCATCGACCCATATTTTTTTCGAAACCGAAGTCGGTACCTTGTAAGCCTTATTAATTTGTGGAGTATAATCAGAAAGATAGTTCTTTGAGTAGGTCTTACAATGTTCTTGAAATGTCAAATTACGGCTGATTTGTAATTCACTTAAACTGGACACGATGCAAGAGAAAGAATCTGCATTATCACAGAACGTAAAAGTTTCGCAAAAAATGTCTTCAGATTTTGAACAAGCTCGATAACAGTCACTAAATCGTTTTATGCTTGGAACTTCGACAATGTCCAATCCATTTGGAGTCAGTGCACCACGAGAATCGAACATTTTGTAAAGTTCTCTCTCTTTCTCTTCAGATCGCTTATCAGCAGCCACAACGTCGACTATTTCATAAGTGTATTCTTTAAAAATGATTCAGAATTCAAGAGATGAGAGATTAATATGTGTGCTAAACACTATTGGATCACTTTTTAAGTATTCCCATTAACAATATATTACCTGAGTCTTCTTGTCCTATGGTGAATTTCTCATTAACGATCTGAACCAAAAGACTATCATGAATTTCTCTTAACGACTTCTCTTGGCCAAATCGATTTAAATTTTTCAGAGGAAATTTGAAAGCTGAACAATCGGTTCCTTTGGATGACGTAGTTGACTCCGTAACATCCGGATTCTCAGTGCTAACACATAAATTTTCATTTTTACAAAAGTAAACAACACTAGATAAACGTAAAAGGGTTAATTAGCAATTATCATAAAAACGAATTCAATAGTTTGAATTAGGTATTACCTTCCAGGAGAATAGTAAGCAGAAAAATATCTTAGACATTCATCTGCGCTTTTGGCTGAAGTTTTATGCAAAACTTTTATCGAACTGGTTTTTATATGTTTGTAATCAACGGAAAATGAATCTGGAAGATTGAATTATATTGCGAGTGATAAATTTTGTTAAAGTGAATCGAGATCATTTTCTTACCAACTATATTTGGAGCCTCGATAATTGTAACATCCGCCTCGATACGATCCTTGGAAAAAATAAACTCCACATCGACAATTCGTAATGGTGATAATTTGTAGGTTTTTATCAATTTTTCCATAAGATATTTTCGCAAGCCATAAGTCATTTGCTCACTTTTTTTGATACAATTTGATTTTTTACCTTTAAAGTAAAGTGAAAAATAAAATGTTCATTGCCTTTTACTCATTGATTTTATCAAGCGTTCTTACCAACATCACACAATAAATGGATAGTAAGTGTAAGGCGCTTAGTTGGATCAGCGAAACAATCTCCCAATTTGAATGCATCCTCGTATTCACTATCAGGTAGATCAATATTGACATCGTAAAAATCACGCTGCATCGATTCAATTAATTGGAAAACTCCCTGTATTAAGAAGATATACTTTGTTATTCTAAAGTTGACAACTTAGGATTAACTCCACTTACCAAAGAGTCTTTTCTGTAAGCATTTCTAGTGGCTGCAACAATCATGTCATCAGTGAAAATTTTTTCTGTCGCCTGAAAGAAATAAACTTTATCGTATCTTTATTCAAATTTTTGGAGTTAATGTGTCGACTGGGATTCTTCAATTGGATAAAAATTGAGTAATGAATATTGCCAATCTAATAGCATTCAATCAAATTACTTACCGATGATGATAAGTAAATTGTTGTTACAACTTTGTCATACTTTCCACTTTCGATAACTTTGTCTATTTGAACAGATTCCCAAACTGCAACTTTAAGGCCTGATCGTTGTTTCTGTGTTTGGTTAAATGATCAGTTTTGATTACTTTTCATATGAATATTACACTATTTTCGCTCAATACATACAAAAATAACTTGACCAAGATACTTGGGTATTTTATCTAACCAATTGAACGCTTGACCCATTTGAAAATTACCATTAATGTCAATGCCAAGAGATTTCAGGTCAATTGGGAAAACTCTACAATCTCCCGACTTTGATAGGAGATATTGAACACCCAAATTATAATCATATAGATAATTATTCGTGTGCCCAAGCCGTGTCTCAGCTAACCTTATGATTTTACCTTCTAAATCACCATGAATCTAAAATAAATCGAGTTGATATGTTTTGTGATGAATCAAAGTTAATTGTAATTGGAAATAATCAACCATATACAGCCGTGAAAATTGAGTTTGTGCTTTTTATTTAATTCATTTGAGCAAGTTGATTGATAAAAGCAAATTAATTGATAAAAATGTAGAGTTGCTAGTGTTAAATTTATCTAATCAATCGTTGTGATTAAGTTAATTTTTGCCAAAGATGTGCAAATGATTTAAAAAAAAGCACAAACTCAATTTTCACGGCTGTATACTCTTACCTCTTTCAGTGATGGATATTTGTTGTTGCTGGCTGTGTCTTTTGCGATAAAATGAATTTTTGTAGAATAGATTTCAGGAATTCCAAGATTATCTTGTAGATAAACGGGACAACCAACTCCTGGTGTTGGCTGTAATTAAAAGTAAATAATTAATACTCATCGAAACAATGACATTTACTTTCCAATTTACCTGAACCGATTCAGCCAATTCTTGAAAAGTTACTGAGTTCAGATAAATATCTAATATGAGTGATTTTCGGGTATCTTCTTGGTCGGGATTAAGAGCGAGGGCAAGAGGATTGTATTCAGTCAGTTCTATCCTGTTTGGCTCTGTCACATCGCCGAATTGGTCTGTTGAATAGTTAACCAGTAAAAATCAATCAATTGGTTGATGTTCCCATGAAGATAATACAGAATGTAGAATAAACTTACCTTTGTAATAAGCGGTGACTTTAATCTTTTGACTTATTATTTTGCTTTGCTTATGCATCAATGCTCCTCTAATTATGGTGTCATTTTCTTCTTTCTAGAATGAGAATAATTATTTTAAATTACAGCATTGGTGCTCAAATTCCAACGCACTTACCCATCGAGAATCAGCAATACGATAAATAAATGAAGGACCAATAAGAAGAATCGTATTGATCATTGGTTTGGTTACTCCAGGTAACATTTTATCCCAATCAGATTTGTATGAATAAAGATCACAATCATTATCTGAATTGCAGTTAAACAGAACGATAAAACTTTACTCACAATTGATAAAAATCATCAGTCAATAATTAATATTTGTAATAACTTATCTATTGATTGACAATTTGATTTGATCTTAATATTATCTATGGGTCGATATGAAAACAAACAATAAGTTGATAAGTTGATCGAAAGTAAAACTGCTCAAAAGAAACAATCAACTACACGTATTGTTCATTTGTCGACCCAAGTTATTAATATGTGGAATGGGTGTTTTTTTATTTCGTTTGGTATATTAATGGTCGGAGCTAATTCTTCAATAAATGCTGGTCAACATATCAAATGCTTGAATTGGATAAAAGATGAAAATGAAAACTTACTTTGCATAACAAGTCGCTTGTTATTATCATAAGATTTGTACGAGTAGAAAATAGTTGCATGAGTGCCCTTGGGTTTTCTGACGATGTGACATCAATTTTACCTTCGAGTCGAGCCGCTGAAGAGATCATCTCTTCAATCTGCCAAACTTTACCACTTTCCTGGTAATTTTGAATTTACAATAACAAACTGTTGATAGTTTAATTAATTTATAAAATTATTTACCTGATCCGTTAATGATGCATGGATAATTCTCGAACCTTGGTTAATCTCAGGACGAAAATCCATAAACGACACTTCAAAATGGAAAATGAGAATAACGTTAGTAATTAATATCAATAAGAAATAAATCATTTCTATGAGTAAATAGTAAACTTAGAAGTTTAAAGTTCGATAACTTACTTGAATTAATTAAAGAAAAGTTAAATAGACACAAAATAAGAGGTAAAAGTAGCATTTTGAGCTTCGACTATTGACAACTTGATGATTCCAATTAGAAACTCGATCAATATTCTGACACCTTTGTTCATAATCAGTCGTATTTATCGAGTGTTAATATTAATAAGTTTTCTTATCTTGATTATAACGCCTTAATTAGTGTTACAAATAATTATTACACAAAATGCCAAATAATTACGCCCAATTTTTTGATAATAAATGATTGTTCTATTCATTCCTTGATAATTTAACTGAAAATCAAAAATGAGCTTTATAAATGTCTTTGAATCTTTCAAAAGAGTTGAATTAAATCAGCTAAATGATATAAATATTATGGCAACTGAATTGGAATCGGAATTGACTATTAACCCAAGCAGAATAGCAAAATAGTTCCTTAATGTTAATAATTGTTGAAGTTTATTAAAAGTCATTCATAAATGTACATCTTGTCATTGAATCTCTTGACCTAACCTAACTTTTTACCGACAAAAAATGGTACAAGATTGAATTTAGCTAACTAAATGATATATTACATTTGTTTACATGGAAAAAAAAATGAGTTGAATAATATCAAAATATTGGATTCTTTATTATGTAAATACTTGTTGAAGTAGAAATGACTTTATAATCAAATGATAATAGATTAACATGTAAAAATTGTGCTAAAAAATAACCAGTCTAATATCAAACTCTTGATTGATCTTCATCATCAACCTGCTTTGACCATCCAAATCCAGTCTCATCTTTTGAGGTCATTTTAGACCGTCCAACTGATACAATTGATTGAAGACTTGGTAATGTTTGGAATCCTTTATAAAAAATTGGAACTACCAATCCAACGACTAAACCAGTGACAAGGAAAAGCATTATAATGCCGAATGCGGCTCCGGAACTTGTCCCATTAGTTGATCTTCTTTCTCCTGACTTATGTTTATTGTCTTTCTCAGTGGTTTCAATTAATTCATAGTTATGGCAGTCATTTGAATCTTTTTTTACAGTTTTTCCATCCCGAACAGTATATTTTGACAGGTAACACGAACTGAGTGCCCTTCCCTTGGGACAGAAATTAAATGATTTACAAGACTCGTCACTTTCCCAACCGTTACACAGGGAAGCACATTGTTCCAAATTCAAATTTAATTCTGTATGGAAAGTTTCGACCACAGTTGTATCTCCGTTCGTTTGGTACTTGTGGGCAGCTTTAGCTAAAGAGAAAATGAATCAGAAATTAGAACTAGATTAACTTTATCGATTGACCAGTTGAGTACTTACGAGAAAAAATGTCACATTCTTCACTATATTCTGATGCTGAGTCAGTATAATAGCCTGCAAAGGTACAAAAACCCTCACAGAACTGGAATGAATAACATTGATCTGAACCATAACACAAAGCCGCACAATCAAACAATGGCACAGTGATCGAAATGGATGTTGGTGATTTGAATCGTTTGTTCTTGATTTGATGATAGTCGAGTAGATGGTTTTTCGAGTAAATTTTACACTGATCATCGACGATCGCATCATCGATTTTATCGTAACTCAAACTGCTAACCAAACATTCAACTTTTCCAGAATAATCACAGAACGAAAATGATTCACAAAGATTCTCATCTTCATTTACGCAAGCATGATAACATGATGCAAAGTCTTTTGACTCGACAACCGTTTTAACTGTCGATGGGTCTGATTTAAATTTGCTGGAATGTCGGGATAAAGCGAACGGGAATTGTGTCTCTTCTCTAGCTGATTGGGTAACGTCAATCACATTGTTAATCTTGAAGTTATGACCATAGAAATAAACAGTATTATACTCTGCTTTGTGCAACATATTATCATGGATCTGTTCAAGGGTCAGTTCGTGTTGGATTCGGAACAAATTTCTCAACGGGAAATCCCACACATTGCATGTAACACCCTTAGGGTCTTCAAGTATTTCCTGTTCTCCTTCAATGGAATAGCAATTACCATAAGTTCCCTTATTACAATAAATTACTGATCTAATAATAAATTAGAAATATTTAAGTTTTATTTGATAGAATTTGTAATATTATCAATGATTACTTACTTGGTCGGAGCACCGATTGATCCTCGAACCTCGAGACATAATTCCTCATCCTTTACCGATGCTGGCGATAGTTTTCTCAGGAAAGCTTCATTTATTTGCTTTGACAGCTCACGGAAATGCTCTGTAATGATTTAAAACAAAGAGAATATGAATTAGCAAATTTCAAATCGCTACCCTTTCATCAACTCACGAGTAATAGTTGGTTTTTTGAGAAAAGTCATAAAAACATCGATTCCGTTTGAACCAAATTTGAGGTCAACATTTGAAATTCTTAATGGTGATATTTTTGCATCATTAAGTATAGTATATTTGAAATTCCGTCTAAAATCATCGGGTCTTTCCTTAGCTAAATCATAACATTGTCGATCTAAAAAAATGTATTAACACATTAAGAACGGTAAAAATTGATATTATCGATGATGTAAATTGAAGACATTAAAGCAACTGACCTGGACATGATAACTGGAAATTTAATTCAATTTTTGCGTCAGATTCAGGAAAACAATCACCAACTTGGAATCGGGTTTCAAATTCTGCTTCGGAAACTGCTTTTTTAAAGTCATAAAAGTCTCGAGTTATCGTTTCAACGAGAACATAATCACTCTGACCGTAGAAAAGTTCAAGGTAGAAACACAAAGATTAAATGATCATATAAATGCAAGAGTAATTATGAATTGTAATACAAAAAGTGATTCAATTAAATGTAAAGAAACTATTAAACTTACCGCCGAACTTTTTTTGTAAGAACTTCTAATCGCTCCAACGAGAACATAATTATAAAATGTATCACTATCTCTCTGAAAAGTAGATATTAAATTTGAATAAATCGGAACTTTCTAAATAATAATGGATTTAAACTCACTGAATCAGAGAAATAAAGTGTTGTCACAACTTTAGCGTATTTTGTTGATCCGATTGTTATATCATATTCAGTTGCTTCCCATGCTTTAACTCGGAATCCAGGTCGATGTTCCTTATATAATAAGTAAACGATTTCAATAACATGGTATTGATAATTTGGTTGTTTTCCTTTCTTGTTCATCAACTTACATAATCTACTTGTCCCAAATAGAGGTAATTCTTATCCAGCCAAAGTAAGTTGAACAATGAATAATATCCTTTTTCAGAGACACCCGGTGATGAAGTTGTTAAAGGTGATATTAAACAGCCATAGTCTTCTCGAACATGAATCAGTCCTAAATTGTAATCGTAAATGGCATCGACTTCGACTCCTTGTGCTGTTGTTATGAGTCGCATAATGGACTTATCATCGTCAATGTAAAACTATCGATTGAATATAAAAATAGTTGAAATAGTGTTGAAGTTTCAATAACTGGGAATCAATTGTTACCTCATTTCTGGTAGATGATGATGTTGGTCCAACAATGTTTTCCACTGCAACCAGTTGAATCTGGTGAGCGTGTAAAATAGGTAATGGTGTACCTGGCGACAAATAAACTGGACATCCTATTCCTGGAGGAATCTGAGCGATCTTATCTAGTTCATCATCAGTTTCCTCATTAATATAAATATCCATGATAAGGTTTTCCTTTTCCGATGAGATTGGTACTCCTGGATCGCGACCTTCAAAGACGATCCTACTAGCTCTAGTGATACCTTCGTATGGGTCAATGTTTTCTAATTGGCAGAAAAGTTAATCACTTTTAGATCAACGATAAATCGTAACTCTAATTAACTTACTCTTGTAGTAAATAGTCATTTTGAACCTTGCGTTCATTGTCACCGTGGAACTATGCATTTGTGTACCTCTCACTTCGTCGTCATCGGCGGGAGACTGAAGAAAAGTATTGAGTTTATTAAAACCAATGGCAAAGTAAAAGATCAGATTATTGAAACAATTGAAATTCAATTACCCAGCCAATTGAACTATCATCTATACGATAGATTATCGATGGTCCGAGCAATAGAATCAGGTTCAGTAATGGCTTGGTGACCCCCGGCAGTTGCTTGTCCCATCCCAATTTGTAAGTGAAAAGTTCACATGATGTTTCTAATCAGAATAACAATCAATGCAGCGATAAAGAGAAATTAATTGTTTATTGTTAACTTTTTTTCTGGTTTTTCTGGTTGATTGTAACAAGTGTATCAACAGATGATTAAGTAATCAATGTTACCTAATTGTGATTAACAAAGATAAACACGGTAACTTACCTTTGACAATCAAACGTTGATTATTTCTACCAGATGAATAATGAACTTCAGATGAATCAGTTTTAGATTCAATTTCAATTTTACCCTGAACATTAGGATTTACGGAAATGTATTCTTCAAGGAAAAAGGTATCACCCGAAGACTTTTTGAGACAAAGAGAATCGATTGAAAAAATTGATAAAAATATTAATTCTTGGTGTTAATTTTATCCAAAAACAATCAACTTACTTTATCTGTCAAAGTTGCATGAATGATAAGATTTCGATTGGATATTTTCAAAGGTAAATCAAGTAGTGACCCTGGTAATTGTCAACAATTGAAAGAAATAATTAAAATGAAACAAAAACTCACTTGACTTTCTTATTGACTAAAAGATTGATAACAATGATACCAATCAGTTAATTGTCAATACTTACCAGCATTGGTGAAAACAAAAGGTTGTGTTACAGTCAAGATAACAATTAAGATTAATAACATTTTAAGAGCTGATTGTTTACATGGACTATTATAAAGATTAAGACTAAACGTAATTGAATTACAATCAATAACTTTGACAGTAAGTCAAGAAAAGTTATTGAATCAAATTCAACTTTTTCCTCTGGCAGAATGATTGTAATTATTCAATTTTGTGTTTTAGTTTTCTTTTTTCTAATTAACGCCCAATTATTGATTGTTGATTGGGAATCAGTAGGATTAAGGCTCGAATAATTCAATTAGTAAGAAAAATTATCACGATTATTATCAAAACAGCCCATCAATGATTACTGATACATTTAATTCAGTTCGTAATCAAACATATTTGTAATAGTTTTGATTCATCTCGAAAACAAAACAGTAGTTGATTGATAATGTGATAAACATGAATGAATACTGATATAAGATGGCAATACGCTTGATTCATTTGTCTAATTGACCAGTTAACTGAGTAATCAATAATTTAATAATGGTTGATTCAATTTTTTTTCAACAGACTCTCAATTAAATCAAAATTTGGAGACTTAAATCAATTAAATGATAGTAATTTTCGTAAGCAATGAACACAAGTATTGAAAATTGTGATTCTTGCACGAAGAAAAACAATCTAACCTCCTTATTAATTTATTGATCATTTCACGTGTATCAGATTAATTAAGTGCAATTTATTAATCTAACGTAATTTTTTAATTTTTAAATGAGCATTCAGCAATGATTTACTCGGTGCTTTAATAGACCGTTTTTCCTAAACAATCAAGAGCACGATTGATGAATTACTTTCAATATGAATCACGTAAACAATAATGTTCAAACTTATTTATCTCCATTACAATGATACATTTAAACGCCCTTCGAGTTATTTTTTATGTGTGATAATGAAGATTAGTTATTGATGAGACAAGAATAAATTGTGATTGTGAGTTTGTTTGTAATCAAGTTTTCTCATTGAATTAGTTCATTGTTGGAGTTTCTTCGACTTTTTTTAGTCCGTAATTATCTCGATCGGCCTCCCGAAATCGGAAAAGTGATACATTTTGATGCAAAAATTTTTTCCAACCATTTAAAAGTGCGGAACTTAGCAAACAAACTTAGCTAATCGAGTTTTTGATCTGGCTTTCCGTTCAGGAATAGTTGATATTCAAAGGTGCGGATAATCCTTTGACTTTCAAAGGAAAATTTTGGACTTTTTTGACTGTCCTGAGATCAAGTTCTAGTAAAATCCCGATGCCAAAAATGGTAATTATATCAAAAAATTAATCTCTTGAACTAATTGGCCTTAAACCACTGACTGTTTGTTGGATTCGGTAAATAAATTGGCCTTATGCTAAACTTATTAACATTTGACGACTAACGGACAAGATTTTTGACTTGAATTCATTTCAGAAATACAATTATTGTGAGAAAAGCTCTAAGTTCTAATCATTAAAATATCTAGGACATTACAAGTGGAACTTACAACTGAAACCTCGCTAACAAACTCTTTGAAACCCCCAGATCATGATTATTAACAAAACTTTTGAAAACTTTTGATAATCCAGCCAAAAGTCCGCAGACCTTTGGACTAACTTTATTTCAGGAAATTTGTGAGATTTATGAATTCAGAAAAAGTTTTTCATTGACAAATTTGTTTTCTGGATGAGCTTTTTAGGCGATACTTTCGATACTTTAGATTAATACTTTTCGCGAAAGAAACTCAACAATTGTCAAATATTGGTATTCTATTAGGGTGTTCGATAAGTCGATATCCTAACCATGTTAGACCTAATTGCGCGAGACGGTATCAGGCCAAAAATGACCTTTACAGTGTCGAGGTAAAGTAAGAGAAAGAAAATTTTTTTTTCTTCTTTGGTTCGCAAATGCTGTTGAAAAAACCAAAAAATCGCGCGCGAAATTTGAATGAACGGAAAAACGACCTTCGAAAAAAAGCTCTCTTAGACACAAATAAAGGCCAAATCAGATGAAACTTTTTTCATGGTTTACTGAGGGTTCAGTGCATCTGAAAATGGTATAAGTTTTTCAAGATTCCGCATAGACAAGCTTTTTAGGGCAAGCAAGATGGATGGTCCATGGAAGCGGACTATGAACGGGTTTTGGCCTCAGCCCTGTTTGTTATAAGTTTTTACAAAAAATTTTCAACGGAAATACATGTCTAAAGGTCTCATGTCCTCATTCTAGGCATTCAACATGCATTAAATTAACTTTTTCATTCGAAAATATCGACCTTAAGTAACTTTCCCACGCCGTTAGGTTTTTCACGGAAAATTCAATGGGCTTATGTCCAAGAAAAATCCGTATGTTCGCCGAACTGAGTTTTTTTCTTGTCTTTCGCTTAGTGCATTTTATTGTGCGTATTCTGATGATCAATTAACTTTTCTGAACTCGAAAAAATTCAAATATGAAAAGTGTTACACTCTTTAGAAGCAAAAAAGGCCGTAATTTCGACCTTTTTTTTAAAAAAGCCGCCCTTTTGGTACAAGGAGGGTATTGGTAAAGTGAGTCTACGTTCTCAAAGGTTAACCACTGTAGGGATCAAATGCGCTAAAAAAAATTTTCTCAACTTCCTTCTAACATGGTTAGGATAACGACTTTTCGAACACCCTAATATTATAACCTGTGGGGATATATTTATTTATTATCTATTAACGATTTTCTTAAAACATGAACAATAAAAGTTTCATTTAGCCAGCAAAGGCGGGGGCTGACATCTTAATACCCATGACTGGGGTTTCGAAACTTATGATATCAGAATCTGATGAACCTTTTGGATTTGAGCCTTTCTTAGGACCTGAATTGGCTTTTGCCATAGAAGTTGCAGAAGAAGAGCTCGAAGATGGATTAGGATTGGATCCAATTGGTTTACCTTTACCATTTTTTGGTAATCCTGATGGAGATGATCCTGAACCTGGGGCATGTCCTATTCCGTTATTGTTTGTGGTGGACTTTGAAGATGAAGATGAAGATGAAGATGATTTAGCTACACCACTTGAAGCTCCTTTTGAGTTTCCACCAGAGCCAGAATTAGAAGCACCGTCTGAACCTGAGCTCGATCCTGAACTAGCACTCGAATCAGATCCAGAGTTGGTTTTAGCAGCTTTACCTGATTTCGAGGTATCACTGTCGGATGATGAGGCAGAAGAACTAGCGGCAGATTGAGCTGTTGAACCTTTTTTACCATTAGAACCTGAGCCACTGGTTGATCCTGAGCTTGAATTAGCATTATTAGTATTAGATTTATTAATTGGGCTAGAGTTTGGAGTTGATTTAGATTCACCAGTTGTTGTCGAAGCCTTCGAATTCGCAGTTGCTTCGCTTGACGAGCTTGCACTTGATCCGGAGCCTTTTTTACCAGAGGAACTTGAGCTATTTGCTGAGCTCGAGCTAGAACTGTTATTGGTGTTTGGTCTATTGCCTGGTTTTAGACTATTAGTATTAGTTTTGACTGTTTTCATCTTATCATCCATGATTGAACCAAGTCCAATCTTAGGAATGCTTCCTAATATACCAAAAGCGTTTGTCATATCGGTATCATCATCATTGTCTTGTCCATCATAATCTTGCGCAGTGGTCTTACTATAAGTCCCTGAGCTCGAACTTGAACTAGCACTCGAATTAGATCCAGTGTTGGATTTAGCAGCTTTACCTGATTTCGAGGTATCACTGTCGGATGATGAAGCAGAAGAACTAGCGGCAGATTGAGCGGCCGAACTTGTATTTTCTTGACCGTTAGAATCTGAACCACTGGTTGATTCTGAAGTTGAAGTTGAACTTGATCCTGAACTAGAACCGGAACCCGATCCAGTGGATGATTTAGGAGCTTTACCTGATTTCGATTTATCACCGGTAGATGAAGCAGCAGAACTAGCAGAAGATTGAGCTGTTGAACCTTTTTTACCGTTAGAACCCGAGCCACTGGTTGATCCTGAACTTGAACTTGAACTTGAGCCATCTGTATCTTGTGTATTGCCTGAATCAGCATCATCTTCTTCACTAGATTTCGAGTCCATCATTGATATTAATTTACCAGTTTTAACTGTTTTCATCATATTATCCATGGTTGAACCAAGTCCACCCATAGAGAAGAGTTCTGATCCCCTTGAAGCGGTTGAAGTGTCGGTTTCATCATCGTTGTTTTGTCCACCATCGTCCCCTGTTTGAGTGGTGGCCTTACTTTTTGATCCTGAGCTCGAACCTTTACCTTTTTTATTTGAAACTGAGTTAGAACTAGAATCAGTTTCTGTAGCTACGGTAGATTGGTCATCATTCGATGAAGCGTTTGAACTAGTAAATGGACCTTTTTCTCCTCGTGAACGTGAGCCAGAACTTGTGCTACTTGAACTATCTGCATTCGATACACTTTTTGAATCAGAATCAGAATCATCTTCTTCACTAGATTTCGAGTTCATCATTGATATTAATTTGCCAGTTTTAACTGTTTTCATCATATTATCCATGGTTGAACCAAGTCCACTCATACGGAAGAGTCCTGATCCACTTGAAGCGCTTGCTATATCATTTTCATCATCTTGGTCTTGTTCTTCATTATCTCCTGTTTTAGCATTGGTCTTTCTACCTGTGGTAGATTTAGAACCAGAACTAGATTCAGAACTAGATTGAGTGCCCTTAGCTGAGTTATTTTGGTCATTCTTTGTTGCAGTATCTGAATACGCCGTTGATTCTGCCATTGCTTTCGAATTTTTACCATTTTTATTACTTGAATCATTATCATCGTCGAGATTAGAGGCTGAATCATCATCTGTATCCAAAGGTCCTGGTCCAAAGCCAAGAGACATGAAATCTCCCATTGAAAAGACAAAGCATCGGTATCAGGCAACATTTCCATATCAACATTCAGAGACGAACCATCCATATCTTGTGAAGAGATGTCTGGTTTAGTTTTGCCCATTGAACCCTTTTTAGAATTTGTTGTGGAAGCTGTTGATGAGGTCTGTGAAGAACCCGTTCCTTTTTTTGCAGAATAATCATCGGAAGAACTTTGGTCGTTACTTGATTGAGAATCTTTATTCGTAGTTGCTGATGAAGATCCTGACATCGAATTAGCACTTGCTCCTGTTGTTTCTGTCGTTCCAGAAGAGCCACCATTGGAGGTACTTTGGTCGTTTCTTGGTTGAGAATCATTATTGACGTTTGATGACGATGCTGCTGCCGCTGCCGCTGCTGAACCAGAAGAACCAGTATTATCACCACTACCCGAACTATTAGCAGTAGCTCCAGAAGCCGCTGTAGCACTGCTACTAGCCGCTGCACCTTCTGAATATGAGGCGTAGGAATAGTTGAATAGTAATAAGAGTAAAACACTTAAATTGATTAGTCTTAAAGTCATTTTGTTAATCGTAACTTTTCAATTTCAATGTAATTGAATAGAAGAGGTGAGATATAAAGTAGTTGACTGACAATTTCTCTTAAAATCTATCGCTTTTTATACCATAAAACAGTACATGTGTCGAACTTAATCAAATTGTGAACGATCTTGATTCTATTGATGATTCAATATAAAAGGTTAATTCAATCAGCTGAAAAAGCAAATGATGTTTAGAGTTTAATCAGATTTTTACTATTTACTTTGAGAATTCAATTCAGATCCCATTGATATTTTACCAAAAATCCTTCGGTGCTCAACTGTTATTCCAACTTTACAATGAGAATAAAAATTAACCTCATGTGAGATTTTCAGGAATCGGTTCAAATAATATTCATATTCATTCAACTGGTTTCTCGTAGTACAATCATGTTTATTCATCTTTGAACTTGAGTTCGGAAATAAACTACAATTCTTGACTGTTTTTCCCTAAAAAAAACTCGAAGAGCCTAAGGCTCAGTTAAGTTTGATCTCAATTGATTAATCAATATCTTTGGATAACTTTAAATTACATATGGATCATTCTTACTAATTAGTAGTCTCAATGGCTAATTGAGAATCAGACAAACAATTAAACAAAATGAGGATCCATGATATTAAATTAACAACGAAATTGTGAATATGATTCATTTTAACTCATGACGATAATTGAATAGTAATTGACTAACGATAAACGAATTTTTGAAAATCGTTTCCCTATGAGCCAAGTACTTAACGAATCAACTTATTACAATTGTAACCATTTTTTTTATATAAATAATCATTTAATTTGACTGTGAACATAATTATCCAAGAAAAAAAACTGATTAATATATTAATTTAACCTTGATGAAAGTTATATGTACTCAGCTAAATATCCTCAGGACAATTAATCGTATCCTTTTAATTGGATATTAAGTTGATTGGTTTTAATTTTCACGTAGGCACTTTTCATAACATAATAATTTCTTAATCATATAATCAAACTAATACGTTGAATCAAATATTTGGTGGTAATGATAAATATTAATTGTTACAATAAGTTTATGATTTAATCCGATAATTTAAGTTAATTACTCTGGAGCAAACGAGAAAAGATAAGTGTAATTGCCTCAAATTATTGATTATCAATTGTGAATCAATCAATTTCAGTTTGGAAATAAGTTTTAATTGATTTTAATTGTAATGGTTAAAGTGATTTAGTTAAATCAAGGTCATTGTTAACACCATGGAAATTAAGTAAATTGTTAAGTGATCATGGTTAACATTTGAACAATAGAGATGTTAATTGTTTGGGTGATGGAACTTTAACCAAATGATTTACCAGTAGATTTCAATTATTGTTCAATATAAACCTGATACCGGCGACAATTAACAACAATTTATAATCGAGTAAATTGTTCTTAATTGTTAGTTTAACTTTTTTTTTCTTTTGTTCTCATCAGCTAAAGTTCTTGAAGGACTCACCTGAAGTAGAACCGAAAAGAAATCAAATCTTTTCTTCAAATTTACTTTTCTTTTTTTTCTTAATTGTTATTGTTCCCTTAATCCTATTATTATAATTATCTCTGGTTGTGGTTGTAATAGTAATCAGCTTATATTAATTGTTGGTACTTTCTTTGGTTGATCATCAAAATTTACTCGCTGGTAACATGAAGTTAATCACATTTGATTACTAAATTTTCCTAGAGCTTCCTAGATTTGTTTTGTTCAGTTGATTGAGATGACAATTGATTTTTTTTAAATTTCGTGGGAATTAATGATTAAGTTGATTGTGCTGGCTGATTTGTTTCTTTATTTACAAGGAAAAAAAATTGATTAATCCGTCAATTTAGTTGCGAGCTGAAAATAACACGAAGTTAAATCAACATCTGATTTATTTGTGGTTTTTTTTTGCATTTATCTCAATCAAGGTAATCAAAGTGAATCAACAAAAACTAATTGACTATTAATTGTGTTGTCATATTGAGGTGATGATGATTAAGTTTTGGTGGTAATTGAAATGATACAGTGAACAAACAAAGACAATTTGGTGTTGATTTGCTTTCTTAATTTGTTGTTAATTTTTTACAAGTCCGGCTTGAGATATTGTCAAGATGTTGACTGTGTGTTGATTGATTGTCGTTGTTGTTGTTGTTGTTGATTGTGATGAGTATTTGTTAATGATCCGTTGGTTAAACGGTGTTGAATTACATTTAAATAGTAGCAAATTATGATGACTATGTTTAGAAGTGCAAAGAGACACTCATATAAAGGAAGTACCCTGGGTACCGTACAATTAGATGATGAGGTTAATGATGATAAAGATGAAAGATTTAATGATGATTGTTGTTGGTGTTGATGTTGATGATGATGGTTGATTAACGATGAATGAAATAAAGTAGATGATGATGATGAATACATGATTAGGAAATAGAGACCATGGAAAAAGAGAGCAGTAAACTCAATCAGTCTAAGGGTGAAGATGAATTTTCCCACCATTGACGGGGCTTGAGATCAACATTCGCAGATAATAGGGTATTGTGACCGAATATGAATACACCCGCAATCAGGTCACAAAGAGGGTAGAAAACGGTCAAGGTACCAGGATAGTTTTTAAGACCCAGATAGACAAGACCAACATTGGCAAACGTCCTAAAAATCTCGATAAGTTGAATGTATCGGCGTTTTTTCATCAAAATGTACATGACGGTCTCAAGACATTCCATTATTTTGGCCCAGAAAAAAATGTAAACCACGTAAACGGAAAAGAGCCGTTTGATTTCCTTGGTTGAAGTGTCAATCGGCTCACAGGACCAGCAAATTGTCCCAAAATTGGTTGTCCAAAGAGCCAACAAAAGGCCAACACCATGTACACCAAACTGGTAACCATTGTAAACCAATAGATGTGGATAAAGGTTAAAGGGTTGCCTTAGGGTCATCCATTTGGGTCCAAATACTTTAACGAAATAATAGTAAACAATGAAAAGGACAATCAGTTTTTTAGCAGTTTCTTGACTATCCTTTACATTGAAAAATAGTTTAACATCCAAATCGCCCATTTGATTGTGTGACATTTGTTTCTACGTAATAATTTGATATTAAACACTAATTAAATAGTAAACAATTAATTACTCATGAGAAAAAGTAAACAAATGATGTCTGATTGAATGAAAAGCCTGTTAACACATAGAGAAAATAATGAGAAAAACAAGACGCGTGTTTTTCTTATGGTGGAAAATTGAATCACCCGTTGATTAGAATAACAATTAAAAAAGGATCACTTGGTAGACAACAATCAGTTAATTGAAAAATTGAAATAAAACACAATAAATAAAATAATAGGAAAAGGAAAAAAAGACAATCAAACTGATAGTTGGTGAAAGAAAATTGAGAAACAATAATAATGAGAAGCAAAGTAGATGACTGATGATGTTGATTGTTTTGTATTGGTTGACTAAATGTTGCTATCGGACAATCAGTTGATCATTTGGTTAGTCAATTGTAAACACTACAGAAATGAACTTATGTCACCCAGAAAAAGGGTTAAAATGAGCTAACAACAGGTAACATTTTCCAGGTAATCGGTTGTTGTTGTTTCTTGTTGTCCTGATTGGCGACTGGTTTTAGGATAAGAAAACTGTTCCTTCAAGAGTAAGAAAAGAAACTTTTTTTAGAAACAAACCAGTCTTGTCTTTTTCTGGCTCTTTCTTTTTCTCTTATTACCTGAATTCATGAAGAAGATGAAAAAAAAAAGGTAATCATGATGATGAGAGTTCTAAATTTACCTTAATATATTAAGAATTAGATGAAGTTTCGCCTGGTCACCAACTAATATAAATTCCTTGAACTAGTTTCTCTTTTTCTTCATTTAGAAAATGATCGTACTTGATTTAGAACCAATTCTAATTAACATGATTAACTGAATTAGTTGGTGGGGGGTGAAGATGATGATTCAAATGATAACCTTGAAAGATACAACGGACATTTGATCGTTTCAAGTTCTTAATTGATTGTTGATTGAATGAAGAATCAATTATTCGCTTTAATCACAGTTAATGGAATAAAATCTATTTTCTAATTATTGGTCAAGTTGTTTATTAATATTCGTGTTTTGTTTGCGTGATATTACAAAAAAACTTTGTTCGTTTGACATGTACGAGGTGATATGTTCAAACTCGAAAAAAAGTAATTACATTTTCGATGTGATTAGAATTATTATCAGAATCGGTTTGCTCACATTTAGTACTTTATGGTTTTGTCCAACGAATTTCAAAGTAGTGAAACTTTTTCGTTTTTTTTTTTCAATTCACGAACATTTCGTTCCCCGATTGTTCAGTCTAATTGTTCAATAGATTAACGGAAATAACATTTTAACTTTTATTTCCTTTCTTTTGTGGTTAATTTATTCATTTGTGATGTTTCCTGATTGACGAAACCAAATCTCCAAGTTAAAAAATCCTCTTGATTCATAACATGAAACCAAAACACTTTCTTTTGGTTTTTAATTGTGATCATGATTTGTAGAGTTTTCCGAGCTTTCGTTTTTTTTTTGGTTATTCTTTGATCAGAAAAACACTTTGACCCAATTTCTTAACGATGATTAGTTGCACCAATTGATTATCGCAAATATTCTTGGGTCAATTTTAATTTAACATCATCATCATCGACTAATTTAAGGTAAGTGTTGATCAGCGGTTGTGGAGCTCCTTCATTACCGAGGGTACGAACGACACGTTCAAATGGAATAATGTTTCGAATCTTTTTCGAACCAAGGAAAGTCTAACATTAGATGAGAAAACAATTTGTCAATAATCATCGAATTACAAGATTAATTTAAATAGTAGTTACCTGATAATGGAATAACTGGTCAATTTCATTCCAGCGTTTTGTCTTTGCCAGTGCTCGAAGTGCAGTCCAATAATATTGTTTGTCGGAAATGTTATGATTGTTTCGAATCGTTTGTGGACTTCCAAAGTGTGTGGGTGGATTTTTACTATGATGAACAATGGAATAGAAAAGTGTACTGACCACTGATGACCCTAAAAACGATGAACCGGGTGGTAGTGATTCAAATCTTTCATTTGCCTCCATAACCTTAGAATCAGCTGAATCAACGGGTAATTGATATTCGAAGAGAGTAATTTGCTCCATGATTGTTGGACAATATAATTCATCTTGAAGATCTTTAAAAAAATTATTGTAACAATGTTTCAAATGCTTAATTTTCGTCTCCATGTGTTGACATTTAATTGCAATGGAATAATTAACAATCGCTGCTTCTTCCGAGCGGCCCAACATTGCAAGGAAATCGGTTAAATCTTTAGATCGATTGGTTTCTCGAAGTAAATCAATATAATGATCAACAGCCGTGGGTCTAATTAACAATTCCATGGCAAATATACGCCAACATAAAGTTTTCTCAAGAAAAATGATCACCGCAATTATCGCATCACCATCATAAGTATTAATTGCTGTCTCTAAAAGAGATAATTTATCCTCTTTTGATTTGAAAATTGATAAATTGGGATTCTCTCCGTTAACTAATTGCTTTACACAAGCGTCAATCTTACTAGTTGAACCTGAAGTTGAATAATTTTTACTTGAAATCTTTTGGATCGATTGATTAACTCGCTCAACTGCTTCCTCTGGACTCATCAATTTAATTGTATCAGGAACTGTAATAAAGGGAAACAATAATATAGCAGAATAAGAATGGAAATATAGTAACAGCAATCAATTGAATCATCGTGAGAAGGAAATTAAATTGATTACCATGAGGCTTTGACAGGATTTCCGTTGGTTTGGGTGAGGTGCTCGTGAATTGTTTCTGATCACATAATGAATCAATATCCTGAAGATTATTAAAAAGAGAGGATAACAAAAGATTAGAGAGGGAAAAACGTGAGTTAATTAACTAGACAAGATGATTCAGATTAAAGGAGATTAACATGGGCAGAGAAATGTAATTATTTTCAACAGTCAATGTCATTGATTGTTGACTCTCATGGCAATTGGGACTTTACAGTGAATATTGATGCCATGGGTTAGTAATCATTGAATGATCTTTGAATGATTAACTAATTAAATAGATGAGGATTGTGGTGGATTCAGGCGGATGGTTCAGGTTTTAAGAGATTATCTTCCTTACCGAATCATCTTCAAAATTGAAGGACATTGGCTTTGAATATTCCCAAAAATCATCGACTTTACCTGACTCAGGCCTACAGAAAATAGAGAGAGTGAAAGTGAGAGAGATTGTTATTTAAGATTAACCCTGGATTAGAAATCATCTTATCAAGTCAACCTTTATTACTTCTGGTAATTAAAGCTGACAGGAAAATGATGAAAATCTATTCAGTTAATTAGACACAGATGATATTTGATTATCATGAATGAATGAAAAATTCAAGGGTAAAAATTGATTCAATGAACCACCATAAAAATAGATAATGGTAATAAATTAAACAGAAATGTTTTCTATTCAATTGATGGAAAATGATGGAAATTATTACTTACCATAGTTGAGGTGATTTACTCGAAGACATTGTTAAGAAATTAATTTGTTGATGGCAAAAATTAAAACACAACAATTAGCTATTAGAAATAGAAATAGAAAAATAAATTGTTTGGTTTGGGAAAAAAACAAAACAAATCCAATGATTGAAAGAAACCAATTTGTCAACTAAACATTTTCCACTTCATGATTAACACAATTTTATGGGAAACATTAATTACTCATTATTGTACAGGAATTATTATCAAATTAGAATTGATAATTTAGTGAACAATTGAATCAAGAGAATTTAATTAAGACATTTGATACAATTGGATGATGAAGATAACAAACATCATCTGTTTGTTTATTTACCTTAACGGTCACATGTTTGGATCGAGTTGATTTTTTTATCCAAATTCAAATGGTTTTAATCAAGTTTCGTGTTAATTTGTTTTCTAATTTATTAATTAGATGGTTTCTTCATTTATTTCTTTTCATAAATAAGATTACTGTTATTTTTGATTATGAATTGAGAATTGAATACGATTATTTATTATTTGATTTGTTCATTGGAATGAAATTAATCATGTTTTGAACATTTTATTAGCCAAATTTGTTTACTTTTTAGTGTTTGTTTCAAGTTAATTACACAACCCGAAAAATGAAGCAGAGATACCGAGATTAATTAGAATAACATGAGATTAATGATTATCATTTGGATAAAAAATATTAGATTAACCAGTTTTGGAAAAGTATAAGAGATTAAAAGAATTGTCCAGTTTTGGCCTCGAGTATGGAGAAAACACCTTTTTCCTTTTGAAAGGATTTGTACCAGCAATGGAAATGATAACTGATTAGGCGACCAGTGGGAAAATTGTGTTCAAAAATTGTTCGTAGCTTATTTTGATTTCACCTTTTCGTTCAACGTCAAAGGCTGAAAATGCTGATGTTGCTCCTTGTAGGGTGACACAAAGAAGGAGAAAATTGTCAAATATAATCGATTGGCCAGTTGGATCACCAAATTTCTTCATTAAAAGATGATAAGTGGACTCTGATAAACGGTAACCAAAAGAGTTGAGAGCATGGTTAAGTTCATGTTTAGCAATTGAACCACTTCGATCAGCATCATATTGACGGAAACAATTAAGCCAATCATTGATAAATTTCCAAAGTTGTTTAAACTCATTGTAATCAATTGTTTGACTTCCATCTCGATCAAACATACCAATCATCATCTTAATCAATTTCATATTAAATGGTTCCCAAGTACCATTGCTTAAAGCTTTTTGTAATTCCTCAGCAGAAATTTGTCCAGATCTATCTTTGTCAGCAGCACCAAAAATTTTATATAAATCAGCTTCCGAAGGCATAGGAGTGGCCATAGTTAACAACAAAATTAATCTTGATCAAAAAAAAATCAGAGAGACAAAAACAAAATAATTAAACACTAACAAATAGAAAAGATCTTGTAACGATCACAGAGAAAGAGAAAAAAAAATTCCAAACAAAGGAAAATCGGAGAAGATAAAATCTTTGACGAATTGACGTTTCTATCCAAAAAATCTTTGGAACTTTTTCACTTGAGGTAAAAAAATTACGGTTTAAAAGGGTAAATTCAATGAGAAATCTACTGATTGCCAATTAATTGAAATCAAACAAACAGAACAATAAAATCACAATCAAAGTTATTAATCAATAATCAGTTTTGAGAAAATTGCGTAACCGATATTTTAAAAGTCCAAATATCGATACAAAGGATCCGAAGTTCGAAGTTAAACTTTACGAATGAAGATGGAGCCACAAAATTCCAATTCCAATTCCATATGACAGTTTGTTTTGTTTTCTCTCAATTTTTGTTGATACTTTTTCATTCATTGTTATGTTTTCAACTTTTTCGCAAATTATTTAATTATTTTCACTCATTTTAATCGCTATTTAATGAGAGACCATATGAGAATTTTTAATGACAATTCCAGGGTAAGTAAAGTTGAATATCTTTGTGTAGTTTTTGTTACCTTTTCACATCTCAATGATTCTCAAGCACAATGAGCTTCAAATTTCACAATTTATTGTTGATTTTTTATTCCTTTACAACCACAAACCATTTAGTTTATTTCATCTTATGTAATCAAGTTAATTCTATTTTCTATCTTGTGCTTGATTTGATTTACGTAAACACAACAAATACTCATTAGAGGCTCTCTTTAAGATTGTGTAATCATTAGTGATACTTTTCTGGTAATTTCTTGTTTTACTCAACAAAATATCACTTTGAATTCAATTGAATTTAATTCATTTGATCTTGATTGTTTTTCTGTTGTCAGACAATTTTTTCTTGTTTAAAGTTACTTTTTTTTATAATATTCAATTTAATTCTAATTACTATACAATCTCATCTTTTATTTCTCAGTTCCATTTTGTCTTCTCAACTGATGGTCTTCAGTCAACAATCAGTGGACATTATTTGATAAGTTTTCTCTATTATCTATTGTGACCTGATAATCTATAATGAAGATGAAAAAGAGATTAAGTCAAAATATTGTTCACCGTTTACGGAATCGTGAGCTTATGGATATTAAACCAAGAACTTCTAAACATTACACCAATCGATGTTTCTATCAAAATATTTTCCCAAATATGTCTGTGATTAACATCGATAAACCTCCATGTTTTCTTAGGAAATTTACGCCCGATGGAAAATATTTGATCGCTTTCAGTAATGATCAAAGTTCATTACATGTTTACACTTATCAAGGACCCGCTGTAGCTAATGAGCTACTTGAAAAGATCAACATTGAGGGCGATTTTGTCGGTGGAGAGCGAAGTAGATTGGATGAATCAGCCTTCATTCAAGCAAATATATTTTCGCACTTTTTTAAGCTCAAACACATCGTCAATTTAACTTCAAACTACGAAAGATTAAACCGGGAATGTAGCCTGTTCACCAATGATAGTAGATATGTGATTGTCGCCAGTTCTGCAACAATTAACGATCAGGTATTTCCAAGTTATTATGATGTCCTTCGTAACAATGAAAGTATGAGTGTAAATATTAGATTTTTTCTTGAAGATTTTTGTATTTACCTAATCGATATGGTTAAGGGTAAAAAATGTGATCAACTGATTTTCAAAACGGATTATATTATATTATCTCATAATCAAGGACTCTATCTACACGATGATACTCTTGCCGTTCTTTCAATTCAACACCAAACTATTCACATCTATCATATTGTTGATAGTAGTACAACTGGTAAAAAATTTCTTCTCATCAATTCCATTGGTCGATTTTGTTTTGAAGATGATTATTTCGTTATTTCATCTCCCTTTGAAGAGGTTAATTCAATTTCTCCACCATCTTCCTCATCATTTGCATCACCTAACTCAACAGCATCATCATCATCATCATCATCATCGTCTTCCCTTACTGCTCGAGCCACTTCACCCGATCCAGCTTTCCATGAGGTTTTCATTAGTGCATTAAAACACCGATTTCTGGCCTTTCTTTATCGTCGAGCTCACAAAGAATCACAAACAACTGGAAATGTCCATCCGCTGGTCAATTATCATCGTAAATTTGAACACTATCTCTCATTAAGAATGTCCAAAATGCAGCTACTCGACAAAGATCATTTACTAATAAAATACGAGGTAAATGAGAGTATCACTTCACGTTTACTCGATAATCATAATCTCTCATCCTATTTTGTGGCCTATCAAATATCAACGGCCACCATTTTACAAATTTATGAGAACAATTCCAATGAATTGTTGCAAATATTTGAAAATTTTTGTGACTATTTTCGCAATACTCATTCTTATGTCTGTTCTGCTGGGAACAATGTATATGCACGAACGATTGCTCAGAGATTTAAAAAGTTACTCACTCGTGATGGTGGACCCACAGAGGCTACTCGTCGAATCTTATCTTTACTTCCGATTTCCGCTCAGTCTTATACTCCTTGTCCTTATCTTGATTTATCGTTATTCAGTTATGATGATCGTTGGGTTACTCCAATGGAGCGTCCAAAATCTTGTGGTGAATATCCAATACGATTTTATAGTCGAGATGATGGATCCTTAAGGTTCAAAATTCACGCTGATCATCAACATAACGATTCTCCTTCAGCGTTGAGATTAGTCGCTTTTTCCTTTCATCCATACGACCCTTTTGCTCTTAGCATTCAACGAACCAATTCCGATTTTGTCGTTAATCTTCATATAAGACACGTACCTCAACGACTTTGACGTTGTCACCTTGTCTTCTTAAGACTCCTAGAGCTCCATGTTGGAAATGTTACATCGCTGGAAGACCAACACAATTCCATTGGTATGATTACTGTCCCTTCGCTGCTGATCAAGAAGATCAAAGTACCAATGATGATCAAGCTGATACTCTCGCTGTTAATCAAGTTCATCAAACTGGTGATGAGATTGATTATATTCAAATTGACTGAATTATGCTGATAATTTCCTCCGTTTAATCATAAGGATGGGGATGTAATGTAAAGTCAACTTTTGGAAAGAGAAACCAAAGGATAAGAAATCCTCTTTCTTTCATCAAACATCACAACGGTCACAGCGATGCAAACATTTCGCTCTCTAGATAAAAGCAATTGGAAGGTGATAAAATATTTGAATGTTCATGGAAAAGACGGATTTTCCCATTGTTTCTTCATAAATTGATACGGATTTGAGTAAAGTTCCATGTTGATTGATTTCAATCCAAAATCAATCGGACTGTTATCTAAGATGAAATTTATCTTCATCGTTTCCGTGTCGAATACATTTTTCGTGATGAAGGTTACGGAGTAACTTTTCCGTCCAATTGTAAAAGGTGTATCAGCATCCAATCGGAATGGGTAATGAGGACATTTTCGGGTTATATTAGACAAGATTATATTGTGACCATAGCAATCAATATGATCTTCTTTAGACTTGTGGTTCCATCCGTTCGAATTGCTCAGAGCAACCAGTTAATGTCCATCGTAATTGTGTTTCATTAATACAATTGTCCAAATCTGGAGCCAAAACCAAATTTTCGGAGTCGAAATACTGTTCATTCAAAGGGCAAACTTTTTGACCATTAAGATTAAAATTGTGATATTAATTAATTCATCAAAAAATTCAAGAAAAAAGAGTTATGATTACAAATCAAATTTAATTTTAATTGGTGAAACAGTTAAGTTGTATCATCAAAAAATACACTAGAAAAATGCATGAGAAAAGGTTTCTCAATTCACTTCCTTGATATTTCACCGTGCCTATGGATTTAAAATCTATTTTTCCCATTTTTAAGTACGTTAGTCAACTATATTCAATCTTTTGAGTGGTAAGACGATACGAATTATTGATACGGTACAAGAAGTAGCACAAGAAGCTATAAAAAGGAAACATTCGGATGATAAAACTCAATCAGGTTCAGATATAAAAAGGAGAAAAGTGACTAAAAGACCGTATATCACAGGTTATAATTTCTTGAAATGACCATCCAAAGCAAATATTCAAAAGAGGCAGTTCTTTCTGAACTAGATTTATTCACAATACCCCCTGTACAGAAATCAATAGAAAGAAGCTATGAAGTACAATACAGACCGATATTTTCAATTTTCAGCTGATTTTTTTCTCGGCTTAAGGTTCGGTTTGATTGTCTCAGGTCCTCCGGGCCTTTCTTTGGTCATGGTGACCCTTATTAGCAAAGACATGACCTAATTTAAACAAACACAATCAACTGAACAATTAAGTCCATTTTAATATGTAGCTTGAACCTTAAGCCGAAAAAAAAATTTCAAAAAATAAGCAGCTTTGAGTGAAAATGTTGAGCTGACAAACACTCGTATCGTCTTACCAAAAAATCATGTTTCACCAACCCCGATCAATTTATCTCAGCTTAAATTGTTGTTTCACCAACCGAAATTAAACTCAATTGATCTTAGAATCAAGAGAAAGTCAAGATCAAATTTTGATTTCGACTTTTATTTCTCTTTTTTTCTAATCTAACTCATTTTTTCCGAATTTTTTTTAATGAATTGGTTTATATCATATTGGTCTATTATTTTTCTACAATTTTCGCTAGCGTAAAGAAGATTTTTTTTTCACATATATTTTGTATGTCTAGGCGGAATTCCCTATTTAAATGGTCTTCATCCTTTAATTGGTGAAACAGTCAAGTTGAACTCAACTGATTTGATCTCAGAGTTAAGCTTAATCTCAGTTGGTGAATACTACAGGCCTAAGATTTGATTTAATTGTTTCTTTTTCAAAATTTCTCTTAATTGGTTATATTTCCATGGAAGTTGGTTAATTGGAATTCATATTTTGTGTCCAATTGCAATTAACTGATTAGTGAAATTCTGACTGTTCCCTATTTCCGTGTTTGCTACCGCTGAACTTTTACATTTATTATTAGATCAATTTAATTTCTCAGTTTTCTCTTTTTTCATTGAATTTTCATCCGTTTTCTTTGAAGAAAAGTATTCATCTCATATTCTTATCCCTTGGTCAATTTCGAGTGCAATTCATCACTAATTTACTATTAGTATAATTCTAACACAACAATCAACTCTGTCCATAAATATAAAAAATGTAAACTTTAATTTTACATTGTATTCCCACCTACGAATCAATTAACTACCAAACTAATTGTTTTGGCAGTTAACCAAATTCCCTAACTATTATACTTTTTATGACCATTCAGTTTGTAATTACTAATATTATATCACAATTAAATTATTCGTGGTTGACAAACAATCATTTGAAATAAAATTGAAAGAAACATTGATCAGTAATATGCATTGATTTTAATTATCATCTTATTTTACAATTAGTTACCTTGGCAATTGAATTAGTTGAACATGATTTTAATTTTTCAGTTATTTAGCTTTCATTAAATTTAATCATTTAAATTGTTAATAAATAATAAACATTTTCCAATGGGATTTGGATGGTTCAAGTGATAATGATACATTTGGATTAATATAAATAAGTCAATAAATAGATTGGTTAAATTGAGACTTTACAATTAACAAGAGTCCAAAATTACAGTTGAGACAATTATCGTTATTACATTGGTTGAATAATTTGTGTGTAATTTTGAATTAAACTTTGTAATTAGAAAAAAAGACCAGAGGAAAAGAAGAAAATTTCTTCTATTGTGATTTGATTGCTCGACAATTTATCGACATTCAGATTGTATCAGAAAAAGAATGAAGATTTTCAAGCTCATTAATTAGCTGAGAATCACTTGTTTCGTAGCAATTTACTGAGTGTAATCGTTGGTACGAATTGATTGTGCTTGTTTTTTTTTCAGAATATTAATTGCGATCCAATCAGGACAACGAACTTGACTTTCTAATCGTTCGGGACTTGTAATGATCTATTTTCATAATTGAGCAAACTTGTGAAAATTTATAATTCTTTTCAATTAGTTGTACCATTTATATTTTTCGAGGATCACGAAGAAGCAAATTGGATAATAAAAGTTGCTAATCTCATTGGTGTTAATCGTAATATATCAACAAATGATAAACCAGATTTAATCACTTTGAGACCAGTTAATGTTGTTTCTGTTAACTTTTTTATCCGATGTTGAGTAAATCTTGATGCAAGTGATGATTTTTCAACTGGACAAAGTTGATTGTTTTCAAACAATTGACGATTATCAATTTTACAAGTGAATCCTGGTCGATGGACAATTAACAAATTTGATTCGGAGGGTTTATCAAAATCATTTGTTCGGGGTAACGATCTAATATTGACTAGATGAAGATAACAAGGCATTGGTTTGTTTAAGAAAGTTAATTTGGATGCTAATGATTTATCCTCGGTTCCATCGTCAGCGAAAACAATTGGAGGATAAATTAAATCAGTCAACAAATGAAACGAGAGTTGAGATAAATTTGGAATCTCTTGAGTTGAAGGTGAAGGTGAAGTTGATTTGAGAGTCACTTTTCCATCAGAGGTGGTAAGTTTTTCCACAACAAGGAGAAATTTAGATCGCGTCAACTTATTATCGACAATTGATTCGCCTAAACCACGATAATCATCGTAAAGAGTCCGACGATCCAACATCATTTCGAGAATACCTTTAGATGGACTTGTGACACCTCGAGAGTGAGATGTTAATACAGTTAATCGGCTCGTTGTGTCTTCGATATAAGCTGCTGATGTCATTGGATAATAATTGGCAGGAATTCCGACATCATTGACAAACTTTCGACGAATCATTTGGTATCCATTTGAATCAGTGTAAAATATTGGACTATATTCTTTGCCGTTCAAGGAAGTTTCCTTATTATCTAAATCAGTTGAGATTCTCATAATTAGCTCACGATCTTTGTACTCTGAATTGTCAATATTTAGACTTAAATCAATTTCTAAAGCAGCACCAATAGGAGCTTTGTCATGATAAACACGGAAGGTGATGATTATACTGGAAGAGTGAGAGACAATCACTTCGGACATAGTTGGACCCTTAATAAGACGAATGATTGGAAATCGGTCATGAATATTGACCAGGTCATCATCCGCTGTTGGTTGAAACAAGTAGGCGCCAGAGTGAAAGGGGACAGATTTGTAAGCGTGTAAACTGACGTGCATTGAATGGCTCCATGAGCCCGATGAACTTTTGAGAAGTTTGGGAAAACCAGTTGACCGGTCAAATAGAACAGTTAAATGAGGTGTTGTCAGTTCAATATCATCTTTGAATAATTTGGGGAACACAAAAGTCGATCGAAATGTTGAATCACCTTCCATTGAATCAAGAGATCGAGTTTCACTTGAAGTATCATCCATTAAGATGAAAACTTGAGACTTTGCTGCAATATCTTGTCCTCTTGGTAGCATTTTGATAAGGTAAGTTTTCAATGAGAGTGCTGGTAATCGGCTCATGAAGATGATTTCAAATTCTCGGTCATCCAAGTTAAGACTACTGTTCCAAACCGGGGAAACTTGAAAAGGAATCGTTTTCATTGTTTCTGCATCATGTAAAATGATAGCATCATGGCGACATTTTATTCTAATGGGAAACAGAATCTCTCTGGGATGGCTATTGAAGATGACAAGTTTTCGAGATGATTTATCAGGAACCGTAAGAGGAATATCATTTATCGGTGAGTCCCATGAAGATTGTTGTACAGTGGGGAAAAGGAATGAAGGAAAAACAGTCGATTGAACATTTCCTTTCTGAGAAGAAACTAGATATTGAACAGCGTGAACCATGACCCTGAAGGATTCAACGATGGATTGATGAAGTCGAAGACCATAATCTTGCATAACAAACTCTTTCGATGTTCCAGTGATGGCATCATGATGTTGGAAAAGACCCAAATTTTGACGAGCTGTGGTCAGAGATTTATAATCTTCAATGAATCTCTCAACAATTCCTTTGTTACGATCTTTTAGCTTAATAGTTCGAGCCAAGGAATATAAAATTTCAGCACTTCGAAGATAATGTTCCAATGATCGAGAGAGTGATTTCCAAAAAGGTCGCGTAGTAAAATATCCAGTCCAGTAAGATGGTCCAGCTCCCGAATAAATATCAGCATAGGGCATAAAGTCGCCCACTAGAGTCCAGTTTATTGCAGCCTTTGGATTACGAGAACCTCGAGTTTTGACTTCGTTGAAATAGTCGCTTAAAGTGCCAAAAGTTATTTGAGTCGAGTTAAACTTTTGTGGATTATCGTTGATATGATTCATGAGAGCGACAAAATTTTCTCTCTGTTGATCCCATTCGGTCATCTGATCGTATCTAAAGTCATCACCCAAAGGTATGAGGGCAACATTGTGCGTATACAGAGATGCGGTTCGACCATATTGACCGAGAAGAAGTCGAGCCTTTGAATCGACATTTTCATTCGAGATCACAGTAGAACGAGATTCCGATGCTTCGCCCATAATCCGGCGAAAATCAAATTGCAAACAAACATCATTCTCAGGTCCACAGGTATGTTTTATATTGTACAAAGCAAAAGGTGCAACATGACAAAGTGGAGGTTTGGATGAGGATAAAAGGGGATAAGTAAAATCAGATGCTTGTTTCCACCAAAATTCAAGTGCTTGTTTCTCAGCTAATCGTTGTCTCCATCCAAAATGAATCCTTTGGATGACCATATGATGAAGCCCAGATGAGCTTAAAAAGGTTGGATAAGTACCACTGTGTCCAAATGGATCAACAGACCAACTATTATTTGGCGGTGAATCTAAGCCAAGATTGACTTTTAACCATTGATGACCTTCAATTAGTTGATCAATAATCGCATGATAATGGGCAATTGCTTCATCAGGCATAACCCATCCACCAGTAGTTATCTCCAATTGTCCACGGGCAATTTGATCTTTAACCATTTGACGAACAGTAGATGTAGAAGATAAATCTTTCCACCATCGAGCAAAAAATGATATTTCCGTCCACATGAAGGTAAAATCCCGATACTTATCCAATCGATCAACCATATTATTCAAGATATTAGATGTTGTTGTTAAATAATAACTTTCAAACGTTTTCAACCAACCAGGATCATTGTGTGAATGGGGGATGATGAATATTTTAAGTGGTTCACTTGATGGATCCTTTTTAGCCTCAAGGTATCTTCTCTCAAAGGTTTGATTCCAATAGAGACGAAATGATGGTTTAAAATTAAGATTCTCATAATGTTTACTCGTTAAAATGAGCTGATCATCAGAAATCTTCTCACTGTTAATTGTAATGCACTTTGAATCTGGATAAAGAAAAAGGAAAATGTAAATGAGGAAAATGTAATGTTAATATTTATGAGTTTCTCTCTCTCTATTATTGATGAGAAATAAAAAAAATCTCTCGTCTGGAACTGTGATTAATTATTGATTCTAATCAAAAGTATTTGTGATTGGTAACTAAATTACACTAATGGAATAGAAAGTAAATAGAAAAATCCATTCATAAAAAGTGCTTATTGGAAAAGGGTAAACAAGATTCTTAAAGGAAAACAAAATCTCTCAGTATTTATTTTTCTCTCATGATTTTCTAGAATCGATCATGTAGATAGAAGTTAATTAACTTACCTTGAAATAATGAGTAATTTGATTCTCTATTATCATAGACTAAATATTCAGTTGCTTCTTGTGGAGGGTCAACATTTTTACCGCCATGAAAGGTTTTCCGTTGTTGTTGTTGTTGTTGGAAGTAGGGAGAAGGTGATGATTTATATTCAGAATAACTTATCGGATGAGTAGGAATCGGACTTGGGCTCATAAAATTTGAATATAATCCAATTAGAAGACAGATAATTACGATTGAAAAAAGGAAGAGAAATTTGATTTTGAACCTTTTCATCAGTTTCAACATTTCCATTGGACTTGGTGAGAGATGATGAGTGTTTGTGTGTATGTATGGAAACACACACACAGAGAGAGAATGAGAGAGAAGACAAAAAAAATGATGATTAACAAAAATAAAACGCGAGATTTTTAACCAACCCAAATGAGAATCAGATTAACTAATCTCCATAGGAGAGCAACAATGGTAATCAGTTGGATTGTTTCATACAATTAGAAAGATATGTAAAGGAGTTAATTGTCACAATTTTTATCAAAACAAAGTGGTGAGATTAATCTATCCTTGGTAAATGAAATAAAACACAAGATTAACAATTGATTAAGTAATAAAATGGATACGAATTATGTTGTTGATGATTCACTAAATTTCAAGTCTTTTTCAAGATTTTGATGTAACATTGACAACACAAATGGAAAAATATCTTAACCGGAAAACAGAAGAGATGAAAAGTATTGAATGGATTAAGTAGAGATGTTAATTGATTGTATTGAGCATAACAACAATTTGACGATAATTAATGATAACAGACACAAGCAATTTAAAAAAGGAAACCATTTAACTGGATATTGATGAGTGAAGATCTCAATGTAATAGCAACATAAGAACCGAGGGAATCCACAACATTTTACTTCCAATGTTGTGATTGTTTAGAGAAATGGTGAACATTTTTATTCCCTTCTAACAATTAAATCAACAAATTGAACAGGTTGAAAGTGAAATTAAATGATGATCACAATTAGAAAGTTGGTTAATTAATTAGAATAAGATTATCAAAAGATTGGTGAGAGAAATAAGAAAAAAAAACAATCATGAGTCAGAAAAAAAGGAGAAAAGGAAAAAGCAACAACAAAGCAAAAGAAAGGAGAAAAAACTGACAGATCTTCCTTTCTTTTCTTTCTTTCTTTATCTTCCTCTTTCTCTTTCTCTTCCTTTAAGTTATTGTTTTCTCAATTAGCTTTGTATTAGCTGTTCACTGTAACTGTTGTAAATGTTGTCTGACAAGTTAACAGGTAAAAGGAACCAAAACAAGTACAATGAGGACTCGGGAGTAGGAGGAGGATGAGGATGAGAAGGTGATGGATAAGGTTAGTGGTGGGTAAGGCGTGGAGAGGGTTTTGTGAGTGTTAGAGGTAAAAGGGAGAGAGAGAGAGAGAGAGAGAGAGGGAAACCTGAAAATGGAGAGAGATGAAAACGTCAACAGAAAACAGGGCGATTCTTTTTTTGTGGCCAAAAAGTGTAAAATTTTGACGGTGCGATGTTGATTGTAACAATCAAGCGAATAACAAAAGTTGAATCTGAATACAATTCATTGGAAAATGAAACTCACCGGAATGATGACTCTCTCTCTCTCTCTCTCTCTCTCTCTCTTAACCATCAAGTTCAATCATCTTCTTTCATTGTGATTTCTTGATCTTCTTCCTTGATTGTGATTAAATTTGTTGCCTTATTAAAAACCATAAATCAAATCAATTCACTTGTTTATCATCTTAATCATGTTCATTGTTCATAACTGTTGATCCGATTTCCAATCAATCCAGTTGACTTCATCCCTGAGTACTTACAATTCCAGGCTAATAATTATCATCACCATGAATTTAATAAGCAATTACAATCAGCTAATTATTGTCAAGGACTCAACTGATTAAAGGTCCAACCAAATGATTTCCACTAACAATCAACTAATTACATTTACGGTGGGAAAAAATTTACCTTTTTTTTTACCAAGTTGATAGTCAGCATGAGGTTAAGATATTGTTTGATTTAATTTCGTGATTCTCATTTGATTGTTGATCATAATTATCAATTGTGAACCTAAATGGTGATAATTTTTTTACCTTTTTTCGTTGATTGCGGAAGCTTAATTTCTGTTTCAATTTTGATTTAGTTCAAGTAAATAAAAAAAAATAACATCAAATTATTATCGAAACAAATTGAACTGGTTTTCAATTTATAATTTCTCAATTTAGATTAAATCAAACGTTGATTAGCTGATTCATTAACTTTTCTCATAATAATAACAACAAGAGTGTAGATTAACCAACTAATCCAACCTTAAGCAATTTATTATTAATAGATTCAACTGAAAATACACTAACCCTTGATTACTACAATTATCTACATTGATTAAAAATTGATTCTAATCTGAGACTAAGAGTAAAAAATTAGATTCTTGCCTGGCAATTAACTTGACCCGAACATTAGATGAGAAGCTAATTAGAAGTGAAATTGCAACAATTAACTGCACTTGAATCATTTCTCTGAATAATGGTCAGTAATGGTCATTTCATTTCTCTAATCAGTTCAATCAAGTTTTGGTTTATTGATTCTCAATCAGTGAAACTTATTATTAATACAATCTAGTCTCTTAAATGTTACATGTTTACTTGATAAACTAGATTATTGTTTCATGATGACAATCAATTGGCTCAATACCAAGAGAAAAATTAAAATAATCAACTTGATTTATTGTAATCAGAGAAACGATTGCCACAGCATTCGTAACAAGTGATTGTGATTAATTGTAAACAATTAAAACATTCATCACGAGTTGTAATTGTTCACAAGATACAAGGATTAATTTGATGTATTTCTTTGATAATGACGGATTATTGGACTATTAAAAAAAGGGAAAAGCAAGAGAATCAAATCAAAAGCAATTTAATTGCTCAGAAAAAGTAATTGTGACAATTTCAGTGAATGAGAGTAAATAACCCAAATAATTGTGTTTATTTATTGATGTTTATTATGTGATTTCTGGTTTTTGATTGACAGATTTTTGGATCGTGAGTTTGAATGAGCTTCGCAATGATAATGATCAGATTTTGTGAAAGAAATGTTTCCAATCATAAGGATTCAGTTCTCGTGAAAAGTTTAAACACAACAATCAGTTGATTGTAACTCGAGTTCTGGTTGATATGAGTTAGAAAATTTTGACAAGGACTGTATTTATTACACAAATGAGAGCTTAAGGCTGAAGAGATATAGCTGGTCGTTATTATTGGTAACTCGATATTAATGCAACAGACTAATGAATAAAAACTTGGACACGATTTCCAAAAATTTCTCAGGTCTGAACTAATCCAACTACTAAAATAGCGATCCTGAGTAAAAGCTCATGAACCGGTCAATTTGAATTCACATGATTAAACTTTTTTTTAAGAAATTGAATTAATTTAATCCAATAGATGGCAACTCTGGAATAAGAATCGAGCCAACAGACTTGGGACGATCAAACAATCAATTGAAATAGATTTTTCTTTTCGGTGAAAACTTCTTTGTATTTCTAAAGTACATGGTAATTAATTTACTCGCCTAAATTGATGAACGAAATAGAAGTAGCTTAGACTCCGAGTTAAAATTCTTATAGAAAATGAGATAATAAATTTAATTAAAAATGAATTTGAATTTTTTTCAAAGCAGATACTTTCGAGTTCAGAGTTTTATTCATTCGATAACCTTAAGTAGACACCGATCGTCTTTTTGGCCTAAAATTAATGAGTCGAACAGCTCAACTTCTCAAGACTGAAGTTTAGTTACAAAGGTAAATACGAAATCGACTAAAAGTAATGAAAAGTTAATTAACTTGGACAATTGGTGTAAATGAGAATTCGTTGGGATCGGTGATGATTCTGAAATTGAACCATATCTTAGTTTAGATGGGTTGCTGTTAGTTTGGTGTTAATTGTGATAATTGACTATTATTATGAGGATGATGGTTAAAATTAAGGAAATTGTGTTTTGATTAACTTCCAATAGATTTTTTCTGGACAATTAATAGACTCACAAGTTTGAGGAGTTTAATTATTCAAACAATTTTAGGATAATAAAGATTGAAGTTGACAATTAAATGTTTAGACAAGAAAAAGATGAGGATGATGATTAAAATTAAGGGAAATTGTATTTACCTTTTGGGATAAATCGTTGGTTAATTGTTGGTTTTGATTGAGTGATGGTGATGTTGATTGTTGTGTGGGTTGTAAGGGTGTTTTTTTTAACTGAATTGTTCAGTTTCGTCCAAATAGGAATTCATCGGGATCGGTGGTGATTCTGGAATCGGTTAATGGATTAATAGAGCTTGGGGTTAATTGTGATGATAATTGACTATTGCTGGCACCAGGCAATGATGTTGATTGATGTTGATTGAAATGATGAGCTGGTTTTTGTCGATTCTCTTTTCGCAACTGAGTAAACGATTCACATTGTGTATCATCTTCCTCTTTGATAATTGATTCTTCCCATAGAGACTTTTCTAGTGACTGTTTCTAAAATTTAACCCATAAATCAGGTGAATCTTTAATTGTTGATGTTAATCTAATTTGATTGGCACTTTTGGAACTAGATTCAGTCTTTGGCACATCGATTGGGTGAGTATCATTTAGTGATGACAATTGATTCTTTTGTGACTTTTCATGTTCCAATTGATTTGATGGTTCATTTTCATTTGATTCTTTTGTTTGATTTACTCTTGTTGTTAATGATGATTTACTATCAACCGTTGGTAATTTATCAATACAACTTGAACTGAATACCAGATCACTTTCGAAAAGTTTGTCAACACCATTTTGATCATTCCCTTCATTTTGACTAGACTTTAAATGGAAACCAAGTCCAGCGATCGAGGATCTGGACGTTTCTGCGATCTCACCAACCGAAAAACCAACACCCACATTGTTTTTAGGTAAACTGTCGAGTAGATCTTTGGTCGTTGCGTTATATTAAATTATATTTGAAATGATTTAACAGTGAAACTCCATAGGAGATAATTTATTATGAAATTTTGATTTTCCCAAAATTTTTTTATATGATTTATCAATGCAAAAAAAGATGATAAAAATTGCCTAATTTTCGAATTAAATTTGATAAAACTTTCGAGGAAATTATCCTAAATATCATAGATTAGTTAAAACTTTTTCTGCAATTTAAATTAATTTTCGCAATTTTCTGACCTTTAAAGGTTCTAAAAGGCCACTTCGAAAATTTGATATCAAAAATAAAAAAAAGTGTATTTAGATCAATAATAATTTATCGAAATTAATATTAATAGTTTGATTTCGCTATATTTTATATCATTTCGTAGCTTTAGTGATTGATCTTTCAATTCTAAAATTTTTACCATTAACTAATTGTTAGTTTTCAAGAAATTACCCAAAGAGTGAATGGAAGCTAAAAACGACATTACTTATGTGGATACCTAATAGTTCAGCCTCCAGTGAATCTCATAAGAATGGCGGAAACATAATTTGGCCCTGGTTGTCGTTTTTCGTTGGAAAGTTTTACCTTTGGGAATTAAACTCATTTGTTTCCTCGAAATTTTTATCAACCTTGAATCAAATTTTGACGAATCATCAGTTTTAAGGTCACTAAATGGGTCAATCTAATGTAAGATCATTTCGTCTTGGAAACAAATTTGCAGAGTTTCAAACTTTGTCAAATTTTTTCATTAATATTTAAGATTTTCGAATTTATTTTTATTCTGGTTTTTTTTCTTATTCTAGTTGAATGGAAGGCAGACCGCGTGGAAGAAGAAGTAGTGG